TAATGCAAGTTTTACCTTCATTTTTTGTGGGTCTAATTCACCCATCACTGCTAAGCATGATTTGCATGTGTACGCTTTCATGCCCAAATAGAGCATTAGTAATTCTGATAGAAGTGAGAAACTGCCAGAGGAGAAGGGTGTGAGTGAGGTGTGATGTGAGTGCCATGTGTTTCAGGGTGTGATCAGGCTGTTCTGAAGGCCAGTGTAACTCAGATGAAGCAGCATAAATCATGCTTGGAGTGAAAGACAACATTGGCATCAGACTTCCATTTCTATATGCTGCGTTTCTTTATGGTCTATAAATATTTTTACAATAATTTGGTCATAGTAATAGGTGATGTTTATCACAGTAATATGACATATGCAGTATGCTTTATTACTGTTTAAATATGGCTTTTAAAAATAATATGTTACAAAATATATCATATTAAACTACACTAAATGGGCTGGAGGGTGTGCTGAGAGGGAAACCAAAGAGACTGCCCCATTCTTAACTGAAATCAGTCACGTCCCATCTGAGAACACCTATTAGCACCCAGCTCTTCATTTGCCACACGTTTCCAATTATCTCAACTATTTAAACTTCAATCAAAGCAAACGTTCATCACAGCGTCTTGCCATTTCCATTGTGCACATTTCTGAGCGTTTTCCCGTTTATGTGTTTCCCTGGTGGGTTTTTTTATACTCTGCCTGTTTCACTGACTATAATTTTGAATTTGCGTGTGATTGTCTTATTTAAAAAAAAACCTCCCATCTCTTACATCTCACACCAAACACACCAAGTGCTACACAGGCCATGCAGTCACAAACTCCTCATTTCTTTAGACTATGACCATAGATTTTGGATGAAGTTCACATATTTGCTTTGGAACTTTCTAAAGAGGGTATGAGTAGCAGATTTCTATTACATGGGTCTCAGAACAAAATCAATGTAGTATTTAGCCTCAAATCTGAATGCCGTCCCTCTGTCAGCTTAGCAGTTTAGACAGTGCAAGGCTGCCATCTAGTGCAGGAATTGTGCTATGTCTCAGAATAGAAAAAGGAAAAAAGATTCAGTAAAAGAAAATAAGTGTTCTGTGCAGCACACTGGATAATAACACAAGTGTTATTTAAAACATACATTTATTTTTTTAAATGAAATAAAGCATATTGCCACTGCCAAAAAAAAAACAAACAAAAAAGAATCTCAATTTGCATTTTTGAAAAATAGTTGTTTTTTTTTTCAAAGGCTAAATTTGCCAGGACAGCACATAGTTAAAATCTACTCAATCTATTTTAAAAAGTCCAGTTAAAAATTCAGTTAAAAACTCTCTCAGCACCAACGAGAGGACGTTTCAGAGTAAGGAAGATGTTTCAGACAGTATGAAGCTCTGCAGTTTGCAATCTAGTTGATATTTATTTTCTCCAAAACTTTTGCCCTTTCCCAATTTCTTCTATTTTTGCATATTTGTCACATTTGAATGTTTCAGATCATCAAAGTACTTAATCTTACTTAAAATTAGACAAAATAACCCAAATAAACACAAAATGCCGTTTTTAAATGATGATTTCATTTACTGAAGGAAAAGTGCTGTTCAACCAGTTTACCAAATTCAGTTGACTATTGAATTTAATTTCACTAGCATGATTACTGCTAGATCTGTTAAATCTAAACATCACTTAAAGAGAACCTGTCTGGCAAAGTGAAGCAGGTTAGAAAGTCTCAAAAAGCAGCACATGATGCCACGTTCTGAAGAGATTCAAATACAGATGCGAAACAAAGTCTCTGGAAAGGGTTACAAAGCTATTGCTGAGGCTCTGGGACTCCAGCAAACCACAGTGAGAGCTATTATCCACAAATGGAGAAAATGTGGAACAGTGGTAAACCTTCCCAGGAGTGGCCAGCCTACCAAAATTTCACCAAAAGCGCATCAGTTACACAATAAGAAAGACACTGGGCCAAAATGGCATCCAAGGAAGAGTTGCAGGGCGCAAACCACTGCACAGGCTCGTCTCACATTTGCTGAAAACATCTAGATGACCCCCAAGACTTTTTGAATAATATTCTGTGGGCTGATGAGTCAAAAGTGGACCTTTTTGGAGGACATGGATCCCGTTACATCTGGTGTAAAGCTAACACCGCATTCCACCACAAAAAACATGGTGGACCTGAAAGACTTGTCATAATTGATGGAACCATGACTTTGTGCTTTCTATCAGAAAAACCTGAAGGAGAATGTCCTCCTGTCAGTTTGTGACCTAAAGCTCAAGCCAGTTGGGTTATGCAGCAGGACAATGATCTGAAGCACACAAGCAAGTCCACCTCTGAATGGCTCAAAAGAAACAAAATAAAGGTTTTGTAGTGGTCGAGTCAAAGTCCTGACTTGAACCCCATTGACATGCTGTGGCAAAACCCTATATGAGCAGTTCATGCTCGAAAACCCTCCAATGTTGCTGAATTAAAACATTTCTGCAAAGAAGCACGGGCAGAAATTTCTCCACAGCCAAGTAAAAGATTCTTTGCAAGTTATTGCAAATTTACTTGTTTAGGTTTCTGTGTGATTGTCTGTTTTTTTTAAATTAATAACTTTTACTTAATGGCCATTTTGATCGGAATTCATTAAATGAAGGCTCTCTGCATTTTCTACAGTACAGTGAAACAAAAAAAGTAACGGCCACTAAAAATTTATTATGTAACAAGTGTTTATTAATTAACATGTGGATGGAAATATATGTCAGTTACAATTTGTTCATAAGAATTTCTAGAAGTGCCAATGAGACTAAAAGTTTGCATGGAATGTAGAGTGAATGAATTGTTAGTGTCATCATTTTAACGTGATTAATGTAAACGCAGGTTATTTGCACATCCTGGGTTTTTGAAAGTACTGCCATACTGATGTTATTGCAGTACACCCCATCTCCACATGCTTAGCGCTTTGAGTGCAGTAACTTATTAGTAAGCGCTATAATTATTGTATGAAACTAGGTTTGAAACTAGGAATGAAAGTACAGACTGTACTTTCAGTAAAGACTGCTAGCTATATTAATATTCTCATTACGGAAGAGGTAGCCCCTGTTCCTTTGTAATATGAATTGTTTATCTATGACTACAACTAAATTTTGCAGCTTTCTATAAACGCACAGTTGGAGGGTGGATTTGTCACACTTCATGCTTCTTGGAGCAGAATGACACACTTAAAAAGGAACTGATACAGTTGTATTCGTAACGGAAACAGACAAACATCAGTAACAGAACAGTCAGCAAAAAAAATCAGCTTACAGAAGGTACTGTGGCGCTTATGAAAATATAAAAATATTAAAAAAAAACACTATGAAAATATGAAATTTAAGCAGACCTCTTCTCACTTAAGAGAATATGAATAGTACACAAATGTCAAGACACAGTGTGTTGACAATTAGACTGGTCTCTCTTGTTAATAGGTAATTTATTAGTGTTAATTACAATATGAAAAAAAAAAACAATCTGATGACACATTTCTTCTTTACCCTTCTCACTGCCAGGGGTGGAAAAATACTGAAAAACTATACTTAAGTGAAAGTATGAGGACTGTGTCAAAATAAAAGTAGAAGTATAGAAAAATTATAAAAAATATAAAAATAAAAAATATACGTGAATGTCAGCATGTGAAAAGCATCTGTATACATAATCAAGTACTAAGCAAATGGTTTGAAAGGAAAATACACCAATTTTTCAAAATTGCTGTATAATTAATCGTTAATATGTTAACAAAATCATTCAGAGTGGTTTGATGTGAAATGGTACACTTTAGAGAAACTTACAGACTCAGATTTCTTTACAGCGGTGATGACGGGAACCAGGGGTTGAGATGTCTACAGCGCACATATAACCATTTTATTTGCATCCAAAATGACCAGTGTCTTCTGGGTTTTTATATGTAATGTTGAAAATGCTAAAATAAAGGTAAATCTGAATAAAAAACAAGGTCTGTTCACCACTGAGTCGACATCAGGAGATCGCAGGTTCGATCCCCGGTGACGCTACAGGTGGGTAGGATGGCCCTTCCTCACCCCCATCACTCAGTGCGACGCTAGCCAGCACAGCCGTCTGTTAGCTGATGTAACATAACTGGTGGTTAGTCTTCTCCAAGCACATTCAGGCGTTCAATGAGGCTGCGTTAACGGCATTTCGAAAGGATGCGGTCACTGGCTTCACATGACTCGGAATAAACACACGCCCTAAATCTATTTGCCTCGAGAACCTATCGAATATCTACGTGAATGCGACAACAAAATGGCACAGATAGACCTTATTTAACCATTTAAGCTTTGTATGAAAACATAAGAAGATATTGGTGAATGAGGCCCATTTGTTTTGATCTCAAAAGCACAAAAGCTCAGCTTCTCTTTCAAGTTACCTTCCGCTACGTCTGTTCAGGAATTCACGCGTTGGTCGTGCGCGGAATGATACCACATATTGCGCTGAGGCAAAAAGTGGTTCCGGTTACTTACCGACTGTTCATTGTTGCTGATAGGCTTTTGTTTTTATAGAGTAAAGTAAGTACATACTGTGTTCTAAATCACTGCAGCGTATCTGTGCGGAACAAATTAAGACTTGTTTTTAGCCGGTTGAGAGACGTTTTTGGGCATGTATTTACGGAAATGGGTTTGGTGACAATCCAACATTAGTGTTTGTTAGCAGTGTTAGCCTAGCGTCTCCCGCTGTAATCTAACCGTTAGAGAAGCAGACCTCAGGTCAACTGTCTTGGCTGGTCGACTGCTTCTGATGTAAGTGATAAGTCGAGTGAATTTGACTTTTTTGCCAAATTATTCCTTTAACTGCATTATGTGTAAATTGTGTGGTTCCTGTCAGTACCAGTCTAGCGTCCGCGTAGAAGAAGAAGACGGGAGACTTGTAGCGCGTTTATCGATCGTTCTCTTGTTTACATCCAGGATTAGGACAGGTCAGCAACAGCCACACACGCCTCGTACATGGTACATGCTAAACCCCACCAACCAGCCCAACAGACCATTGCAAAGCAAATTATATATATATATATACACACACACACCCCAAACCCACAACAACAACAACTGTGTACGTGTTTAAGTCTCTCACTGCTGTTCCGTTAGAGGCGCTAGCCGGACGCTACATTAAATTTATCTAGAATGGAGCATTTTAAATCAAACCCATCTAAACTTCTCTGAATTGTTTACATCTTAATGACTCAATTATGCAGACATTTTGAAAAATCTGCGAATTCCTATTTAACACATGAAAAGTCAGTCATTTTTTATAACATGATTGTTATAATGATTGATTATAACGTAATTATTAATACTAATGCAAATTGACATGATTATCAATACTAATAATCACATGATTAATAATACTAATGCAAATTGATACAAAATGTATACTTTTGCTATACTATTGTTAAGTATAGTAAAACAAATGCAGTCACTGGGTGTTTCCACCTCTGCTTATTACCGTTCCCTCCTTGACAGGTCCTCCTCATTTGACTGTCATGTACAGTAGGTGAGAAGATGAGCATTCCTTCTTATTTTGCTTGAATTTTACTGCTGCACCATTTAAGGTGGAATGAAAAATTCAAATAAGAAGCTTTTGAATAAGTTTTGTGACATGCTCATCAAGGAGAAGGACATTCCTAATGCTGTGAAGTTGCGTCTGAAAAGATGGAGCTTGTACTTTGTAGCAGTCAAAGTTCTCTGTTTTCTTCACAGGCAAATCCAGTTTGTTGAAACATCTTCAAAAAAAAAAAGCATCTTCAAAAAAAAAAAAGAAGAGGAAGAAGCACCAGATGTAGACCTAAAAGAAACCACAGAGGAGTCATTCTTATGTCCTATAAAGGTAGGCTTAGCTTAGCCTAAAGGCATTCATATATTTACTGAACAGTGAACATCATACCTTCTAGGCATGTGGTCACATGTGCCGCATTATTCCGTGCATAACCTAAACACACAATACAAAAATGAAAAACGTGTTAAAAAGAAGAATGAAAATGCATCAAAAAGCCTGCTTTAAGAAGCCTTTAACATATGAGTGACAAGTGAAATGTTTGTGTGTGTAAACTTTACCGAGGTTTGTAAACTCTCTGATGCAGTCCAAACCTAGAACGGGATTAAATATTCGGCTGTTTTACTGAATTATTATGCATAGTATTAAGAAAAATGCAAGACCAGAACACTTGACTCACTTTCTTGATCTTGAGCGCATCTTCTATTCTCTGAAAAATGAAAATACGCAAATACACTTTTTCAGCAGTGTGTTGACAGAAGTGGTTTATTTTCTGTGTTTGAAGTCTTTGAGCACTTACATACTATGTAGACAATGTTTGTCACCTACCAAGAGAGACTTTTGAAAACTCTTGATCTGTTTTCATGCACGTCATATCAGCATCAGACCATTTGATGCAAGTCTGTCCGTTTTTTTTCTCGATGTTACAGTAGCTGGTTGAGTGACCGATCGCACATTCTTCTCCATGCATTTTGTTGAAGCATGAGATTTGGTCCTCCGTGTTATTCAGCATCTTCACTTTGAGTTTGCAGCTTTCTGACGAACCTACAGACAGCAGTTCACTATAGTAAATCAGTTTGCTGTATAATGAGGCCAAACATTTCAAATACTAAGACAGGGGTTCTCAAACATCTGTATGGCAACAAACTTTTGATAAGGTCATTGGAGAGGAAAAAAAAGAAAAGCAGTGCTTGCTTGCTTAATAATCTACAGACTGTCTGTAATGGAAGGCTCTATTATCCATATATGACAGTTGTCCAGTGGCATAACTAGGATATTATGCCCATCCCCCACCCCACCCCACTAACGAAAATGACTTCCAGTGAATAAAAAAAGTGCCAAAATAATTTGCTTGTTTATGCGCTCTTGTTGTTTTTCAAACCAGCTGATGCTCAAGACATGATGTTTCATCCACTAGCATTTCATGTTTACTTAAATGTTTACATTAGACTACCTATTTAAAATTTTAAAATGATAGATAATGTATCAAGTTGCAGGTTGTGAAGGACCAGCTTTAATTTGGTTACTATGGATGAGCTACATTATAAATAAGGAGATAAACAGACTGTCTATGTAGAGCTGATGGAAGCTAACTGGTGAAGTGTGTGGTTAAAAATGGAATCTTTCTGTGAGTAATGGGTGTATAATTGTGTTAGTATTCAAATGAGGGAGCTAGTTAAGATGTTAGGGGACTTGGTCGCTGGGTGACCCCCCCGCCCCCCTTCCGTGATTGCCCCTGATGTGCCCCCAGTATCTACGCTACTGCAGTTGTTATCTTACAATCCTAACAATGAAAGAGTTGTCACAGTTTCACAATCTTGGCTCCACCCCTTCCCAGTCTCGTCCCATGTCAACATTGTCTTCGTCTGCCCGACCTTGGATTAGTTTATTAGACTGACATCCGCAATACATTTTTAACTCGTTGTCTCAAATATGTGTCCAGGCGGCAAATTGTGCACGCAAGGAGAATATACATGGAAAAAAAGCAGCGGCCAGAAACCGCTGAGCTGACATCTGCCTGGAAAATCATAGACATGTGCACCTGGGTGGACTAAATGGATTAGACCACTGTTGAGTTTGATTAACAACAGAAGGTCATTCGACTTGTATCTTTTTTTAAGGTAAGGAGGGAGAAGCTGGGACTAAGGAGGAGACAGGTGAGGGCGGAGCCAGGAATGGGAAACTGTGACAGGTCTTTAAAGGGTTCTTTAGAGCAAGGTCATAGAAAAACAACTTTTGGTTCCCTAAAGTCCTAAAGGAATGCTCCAGCATTTTACAGCCTAACCTCTGCTGCACCTGTAGCCCATCTCTGTAGCACATAATGTTATCATGGACAATAATTTAAAGGTTTTTACTGTACTTAGGAAAAGAACTTAAGGAGCAGCATGTTTCATGTCAACAAGTATACTAAAAGTTCACAGACCTCAGTTTGAGAACAACTGCTTTAATAAAGCTTGAAGGTAAAAAGTACATTACCGATTTGGAAAACGCTGGTACAAAGCAGGAGAAAGGCTAACCCAAGGACAATCTCTGGCATCTGAAACAGCAACAGAAATTTGATGTCTTCTATTCATTTAGGCAAATACCATTGAAAATGTATTTTTCTTGAGCTCTAAATCTAGGGGGACAGTGGCCGTCTTGCAGTGTCTGTTATATGTTATTACTGATCAACATGGCTAACATTGACTGAGTTTGCTGACGCATAGTTCAATCTTACTAAGCCAAGCTCATCAGCTGGCAGCTCTGCCCTGGCCCTGTCTGGGATTTATGTCTGCATGCATGTTTCGAGTGGTTATCAAATCTTGTTCCTCATTTTGTAGTCGATATATTTCTGCAATGTCAGTTTCTTTGCTTACTTTGTTTCCAGGTTATCTGAGGAAAAGCCCTCAAGTTACAGACTTTGTAGTCTTTACATAAAACTAGCATATAGGCTTGAATCATTTGGACTATTTATGGCATACCATGTTTTTGCTGCCAAAGAAAAGCAGCTGCAGTAGAACAGGACACACTGGAGCATTATTCAGTGCTTCCTTTCCAACTGAATGAGATGGAAAGCACAGCAAGTACAGCAGCAAAGCCTCATGCTGAACAGCACTGTGGCATGCAGAAGCACCTGGTGTGGGAAAATTGTGTGGGCAAAAACAACCTCTAGCAAGTTCCTACCTCTGGAAGCAATGGCAGCTCAAGATCCGCTTGGGCAGAGTTGAGGATGTGTTTTCAATATCAGAGAGCTTCACACAAGCATGTGGACACCATGCACAACACAACATCGACTGCAGTGGTGTAAAGCTGCTATATGGGTCGTCAGAGTGGTCTCTAGAGACGAACTCCCTGCGGTCTAACAGACATTAAGACCTCTGCTTCCGCTGATATGATGACAGTGTCTAACCGCGAAAGGCCCTTGTCTCAGTCCCAAAACAGATGTGATAAAAAGTTGTTCTTATTGAAACACATTTGTGTGTGCACTTAAGGACAACATATTGTTACTAGTAACACAGCTAGCGTGTTATTAGGGCTGTCACGATCATAACATTCTGTCATTTTGTTCAGTACATTAATGTTTCATAATTTCAGAGCCTATATGTTTTGCCTATATATGTTTTGAGTCTTCCATCATCCCGAATTCTCATTTGCGCACATGTCCCTCGGTTTCATTTGTTACGAGTGGTTTAGTTATAATACACAACACAGATGCGTTGTGCATGCACACACATCAGGATTAGGTGGACATCGTTATTCTTTTCCTTACGTTTAGCTCGAAATCAAATGAGTTAACAATAACAAAGACTCATTATGTATTTAGCCAGCAAAATGAAGTACACTATATTGCCAAAAATATTCACTCACCCATCCAAATCACTTCCATGGCCATAGGTCTATAAAACCAAGCACCTAGGCATGCAGACTGCCTCTACAAACATTTGTAAAAGAATGGGTCGCTCTCAGGAGCTCAGTGAATTCCAGCGTGGTACCGTGATGCCAACTGTGCAACAAGTCCAGTCATGAAATTTTCTCGCTACTAAATATTCCACAGTCAACTGTCAGTGGTATTATGACAAAGTGGAAGTGATTGGGAACGACCGCAACTCAGCCATGAAGTGGTAGGCCACGTAAAATGACAGAGCAGGGTCAGCGGATGCTGAAGCACATAGTGCGCAGAGGTCGCCAACTTTCTGCAGAGTCAATCGCTACAGCCCTCCAAATTTCATTCCAATGGATGAGTCTGGGTTTGGCGGTTAACAGGAGAATGGTACTTGTCTGATTGCATTGTACGAAGTGTAAAGTTTGGTGGAGGGGGGATTATGGTGTGGGGTTGTTTTTCAGGAGTTGGGCTCGGCCCCTTAGTTCAGCTGAAAGGAACTCTCAATGCTTCAGCAGACCAAGAGATTTTGGACAATTTCATGCTCCCAACTTTGTGGGAACAGTTCAGGGATGGCCACTTCCTGTTCCAACATGACTGTGCACCAGTGCACAAAGCAAGGTCCATAAAGACACGGATGAGCGAGTTTGGTGTGGAAGAAATTGACTGGCCTGACCTCAACCCGATAGAAAACTTTTGGGATGAATTAGAGCGGAGACTGCGAGCCAGGCCTTCTCGTGCAACATCAGGGTTTGACCTCACAAATGCGCTTCTGGAAGAATGGTCAAAAATTCCCGTAAACACACTCCTAAACCTTGTGGAAAGCCTTCCCAGGAGAGTTGAAGCTGTTATAGCTGCAAAGGGTGGGCCGACATCATATTAAACCCTATGGATTAAGAATGGGATGTCACTCAAGTTCATATGCATGTGAACGCAGTCGAGCGAATACTTTTGGCAATATAGTAATATAGTGATTTGAATCCTGTCCAATTCACAATGTCAGTACCTTTTGACAGTTTTACAGTATTTAGGAGAGGGATGTAATGAGTCAGTTCTCAACTTTGAGTACCCAGTACAGAAAAGACTGTATAAAATGAAAATCAGTGAGTTTGTTTAGCAGACCAAGCGGTGACTCACAGTCAAGAAGTTTGAGGACTTTCTGGTGGGGCATTTCCGGGGACAGCTTCAGCCAGGGACAGGCCACCAAAAACGGGACTGTCCCTGGAAAACGGGGATGTTTCAAGAATCGAGCATAAAGTGTCCAAAAGGGCAGATTAGCCCCCTAACATTCTAGCTATGTTTGTGTACTTAGTAGCTAACACTGTTTTACGCATACAATATTTTTAGTTACACAGAATTATAGGTAGAGTTAAACAAAGCTCAATGTTCTTCACAAGAGTGAAAAAAATAAGCAAAAACACTAATTCTGCTAGCATGCATACAGCAAACGTTAGAATTAGCTACATAACTACCAAAGAAACAGGCATAACTCAGGGCTGTCCTCTGAACATGTTAGAGCACCAAGTTAGAAAATTTTTTTCATAAGCTCCATGATGTATCAATGAATGCATTTCCTGCTTTCTTTTTATTTACATTTATTAGCCTCAACCCAGCACACCCAATTCACATTTTATGCTGCAGTATAAAATCACAGTAGAAAATGACTGCAGTCAGCTTTAATAAATGGGATCATTTCAAATAACTTTGATTGGGTGATTATATAATTCTTGTGACAGGCCTACTTCTTATTGAAAGCAGCATGTTCAGATTTTTACCACAAGCATGTCACTTCACAATCTGTGACGCATGTACTTGTGGCCTGACACAAAGTGTTAACACAGAGTAGCTACAAAGAGTGTACTTTGTAGCTACTTTTCCAAAATTTGTAGCTAGCTACAATTTAGCTACTTTTCCAGAAAAAGTAGTTGCTACTTTTTAGCTACTTTTTGAAAAGTAGTGCACAACTTTTTAGCTACTTTCAAAAGTGTGATTGTAAGAATGTTTGTGAATCTGTGAATGAGTTTAAGTGTAACCAACAATCAGATTTACACAACCAAAGGCGTGATATCGAACAAAACTTTAGACTAAGTAAAGGCAAAGTCAATCATTCCAGGTTTTTCCTTACAAAAATCAACAAAAATAACCGAATACAAACCAAACAACTTTGTGCAAAGCATTGTCAACTGTTGAAATAAAACTGCTCCAATTTCAACATTTCAGCAAGATACAGACATGACATTCAGAGTCCTTTGATAAACTTCAGCAACACTTTAGCCTCAAAACTCTCATCAGTGACCCAGACTCTGTTTGGGATGAGAATCAGGCCTGAATAATCTCTCCACCGCTGCAGAGCTGTTGCGGCTCCACAGCAGAACTAGATTTTTAGGTAAAATAACAATACTGTAAAATCGTTATAACACAGTTCAAACACAGTTTTCACAATAAATGGTCTTAAACGCTGGAGTTAATGCATAACTGCTAATTCACCAACCTTTAACGCTAAAGACTGATGCGCAGACTGCTGGTCACACAGCAACGCAGATAACGAAATGGTAAAGAGAAAGATTTAAGATGAACATTGATAATTTGAAGATGAATGGATTTGCATTTATAATCACTCAGCTGGTTTCCTGATACGTTTAATCTGCAACAACTCACACCGCTGAAGTCTCTTTCGAATTGTCCTGTTCCACCTTAAATGGAACGCAGCAGTACAATCTGGTGCCTCAAGCACCATTTAATGTGGAATGGGACAATTCAAACTGGAAGCAGGAGAACGAGAAGCAACTTCAGCCTCGTAAAAAGTTGAACGTCGAGACATATTTTACAAGAAACCCGCGGAGAAGTTTCCTGAGATGTGAGAAAAGCGGCTACAGCTGAGCTAAAGGTTAAACCAGAGCAAAGTAAGTATTTAAGTTTTAGCCTGTACTAGCACATCAGCACATACTGAGACATACTTACCGCCATGATGGTAAAACGGACATAAAATGTTGTGGCTCCCAAGGTGGTTTGATTTTTGTTAAAAGGACAAAATGGCTCTTCTTAATATTTCGGTTGCTGAAATATTAGTCCCCTGAGCTAAGCGTACTAGTAAGGGGTGATCAGCGCGTGACCGTTAGCTTGAACTGTCCGTGGCTCAGTCATTACTGCACAGTCGCCACCAGCCCAGTTAACCACCACGCTCTATGGTTCAGATTTTGCGTGGATTGTCTGAAGCCTGCAGCAAAACTGTAGCTACATTTCATAAAACTGTAGCGGCTACAGCAATTAGCTACAAAAATTTGTAGCTAACTATAAAAAGTAACACGCTACTTAGCTACTCCCCCATCCCTGCCCAGGGGTCCTAATATCATCCACAGATCTTTTTAATAAGAGTTTCAGATTTTAATTTGATGGCAGGGTGAGCAATTCTGGTCCTGGAAGGTCAGTGACCTTTTTTTGCTCATTATTCTGCTTTAATTCAGAAACAGTAGGCGTGTTTGCACGCACTTAATAATCTGATCATTATCAGATGTCAGCAGTGATCAGATTATTCAAATGGTTATGTAATCGGCATTCTCTGATTTCTTAGATTGGTTTAAGGCATAGAAATCCACTAAAGAAATCCGATAAAGAGAGCTGGATTTTAGCTCAGTAATGAGTTTACTCATACTCTGTTTTCTTTCGTTTTTCTCAGTCTGTGCATGTGCGGAAATAGACTGCTGTCCTGGAAATAGATAACAGTGTAAAACACAGCACCCGCAAAACAGCAACAAAGCACTTCTGGAGCAACTCTGAACACAATTACATGCATGATGAATTTCAATATTCTGTTCTTCATCTTCTAGATTATATATATATATTTTAGCTAAAATGACCCAATATTTTTTTTAAAAAGGTGCAGCATGACGTTTGAGTTTTACATATCGTTTCAACCTCTAGATGAATATATGAAATTAAGAGGCGGCAGCTCCATCAGAGGCCAGACAGGTGAGAAGATTTTGCTGGTTCAAACAGAAAATTTGAATTAAATGATCTTTCATTAAGGCTTGAGATCTTGTTAAGCTGAATTTAACAACAAAAAAAAAACTGTTACACAGGCATTAAGAGAGGGAGAGTCAGAAGCTGAAGTAGACAGAGTCAGAAGACTGAGAAGACTGGAGAAGGTCTGATGGAGGTTAATGATCAAGAAGTGATTGGGAGTTGTTTAAGCTGTCAGTTAAAATGAATACTGAATTTGTATAAATGTTATTCCTTTAAAATATCCTCATTTGTGAGACTAAATAAAGTTTTAATTGAGAAATTTAATATTTGTGCTGTCACTGTGACCACGTGACTATTTTGTCACCTAGATTATTAAACCTATAAGCACGACTACAGAACAAAATCACACTCTTTCTGGTGGTTCCAGCTGACACTGTACTGACCTATAATCTGTCAATTTGAATGACGTATTTAGGACCTGATTATCTAAGAGAGAAGAGATACCATTGCTTGATTTCAGTACCTTTACTTGATCTGTGCCTGTTGTAAGTTGATGGATATAGTATTTAAATCATAGTATAACTGTGCCTAATACAAACTATGAATAGATAGATCTCCCAGTGCCAACTAGACCAAATGGTCAAGTCAAGTCAAATTCATTTATATAGCACCTTTTACAACAGATGTTGTCACAAAGCAGTTTTACAGAGAATAAGGGGGAAATAGTCATGATTTTAAATTACTTTTACACCTATTTGTTATTCTAAAAGTTCATGAGGAACAAATAAAGTGGTAGACAAAGAAAGACATAGCAGGAAAAGATGAAAAACCACAAGCCCAGCTTTAATTACACCTGCCGCAACTTGAAAAACAATGCATGCATATACAAAATTTAAATCGTTTTCTGCATTCATCACTAACCTTGCTGCGAGGGCCATGCCAATTTTTTTACTTCCGGGAGTCCTGTAAATATGCTCTGGAGAAACTTTTCCTAGCTTTAAGGTTCCGGATGTTTCAATGTTAACCATGAATTCCTTTTATGCAACTGATGATTAATAAAGATATGTAGGATATTACCAGCCTGAGTAGAACACGCACAAGACTTTGAATAAATATTTTTTGTAATTCCTTGGAATTACATATTCACAAATGTAAACTAACAGTTGTTTACTGATCATCTCTGAAAACCTCCCCTGTCAGCTTCTGACTTTCATTGACTCCTGACGTATTATCAGGTGACTTTGAGGAAATCTTGTGACAGAAAAACAACGCACCTAGCTGATAAACATCAAGGCAGCCGAAATGCATCAGTCATAGGTTTTTTTTTTCAGCCACCATTCTTTTTTTTCACAATCTAGCAGAACCACTGTTGCATCAGATCAAATCAACCACAAAACTAAGAGAGCATACATCGTAGCGTGACCCATTTCATTTTTCATTTTCCATCAATGCAGCAAAACTTCAAGGATGCCAAACACAGATAAAACACTGCTCTGTTAATCACATTCCAGAAAAGGAACATTACCAAGCCCAGAGAATACTTTAATGCCCGTGGGAACTGACTTCATCTCAGTTCCTTTAGTCCCTGAAGCAGCTAATCTGTGAACCAGTAGCAGCAGTTTCTGTTCCAATCGGTGCATTAATATGATTGCAACATTTATATATCCAAGTGCCATGCAAAGCTGTACCCTCAGGCAGCATTCAGTAACAAACTACACTCAAAAAGATTTTATCCTAGACTAAAATTACTCACCGTCAAATCGCTCACCGTGTTTGCTGGCTTTCGGCTGTGTCAGAGGAAGAGTGAGAAATGACTGCTAATAAAAGAATGAGACAAATGCCCTTCTTCGCTCCACCCATCCATCCACTCCCCACCCACTCTCAGAGAGGGGAAGAGGGTACAATGTTGCACGAGCAGCCTGAAAAAGTAGTGTATGTACAGGTCAGACATGGGTGGTAACAAGTTAAGTTTGCTCAGTTATGTGTACTTGAGTAAACTTTCCTGAGTATTTTCAGATATTTTTACCTTTACTCAAGTATATTTTATATTTTCTTTTTATTCTTTTATTCAGTCATTAACATTTAGTTACCAATTTTAATTCATTGTGTTGGCAACAACACCTGTACTGCTTTGTGATTGCTTTTGACTGAATTTTGAGGTTTTTTTATTTCATTTAATTGCATTTTACTTCATGCCAAAAGTACCTCAGAAAGTGAAGAATAGGGCCTAACAAACTTCATTTGCTCTGCTGATGGATGCTGGATGTGAGAGGTTCTACTACAGTTCTATGAGTTACTCAGTACTTAGTCAGCTATTAGGCCTGGTACTTCTAGTTTTTTTGGAAAATGTACTTTTATTTCTTCTTGAGTCATTACTTTCTGAAGTAACAATATTTTCACTTACATATAGGTTTGTGTTGCTCTGTCTGTACATCTGGTACTTGTTGCCTCTCTGTGCAGGGAAACAATATGTCACAGTTTAAAAAATATTGAAAAGTATAGAATTTTAAATGGTAAAATTCCCCTCAGTGGGGGCCTTTGGTCCTAGGGGGATTTACAAGTCATCCTCGTGCATTGGTAATAAATGAACAAATACACAATAAACAAAAAACAATAATAATAAACAAAACTACAGCCTAAGAGGCCCCATTTAAAGTGTGCATAAAGTCAGAGTGAAAAAACAGAGAATCAGTCTGGATACAAGAAATTTCCTGCAACGTAATCTGAAGAATCAAGGTCTGAAACTTACATTCAGTAAAAAATAATTACTAAATAAAAGTTGTTTTAACATCACTGTTGGACAGCGTGTAATAATCTGATAGTAACAAGTGAAAAAACATGTTTACAGTATGTTGGTAGAAGTAAGACGGACATGATGTGTGTGTTGATGTGTTTTTTGATGTGTAAAGGTAAAATTGGCTCTCATCTGGTCGTACTGGGGACGCATTTTAATGAAAAACTTTTGAATGTTTGCCATACTTTGTTTGGGATTCTTACAGGATGTCGACTGATTTTATATTTAGACTGACCTGTACATTTTTAGACATGCAATCAGGCATTTTGATCTAAAGCATGAACATGGCAGCATAAATCATCATAAGACTTACTTGTTGACTCAATTTTTCTTTTTCAGATGTTCCCATATTACCAACTACTCTGCCTTGCCTTTAAACAAACATGTTTTGTTTGCATTGTGCTGTCTAAAGATGAGTTAGAGCTGCCAGATTCATGGAGGTTTTCCCACCAGTTTGGGCTTGTTTGTAAATGCAGTCGCGGGTGAAAACTTGAAGGCGGGGGGGGGTTGCAGGTTGGGCTGGCTGAATGATTGCAGATAGTGGAACATGAAAATGAATCACTGAATGAGTGTATTATCTCGGTTTGATGAGCTGGAAACCTGAAGACAGACAAGCAAGAACAGTGGACTACAGCTGAGAGAGCGAGAGTGAGAGAGCGAGAGTGAGAGAGCGAGAGGGAAAACAAAGCTCAGTTGTAAAGGAGGTCTAAGGGTGTAATGACATCTAGCAGCAGAAGCTGTAAAGTAGCCTAAACCCATGCTCAAGAAAAGAGTTGTTACTTTGAAATAATGTCCTCAGTAAAGTGAGTTCTTTTTTTTTAAAAAATTAAGCTCAAAAAGGTACATACCTTTTCACATTAGTTTCCTTTTATAGTAAACTATTTCATACAACACTGTGCAAAGTTTTAGACAGCCATGAAAACTTGCATTAAGAGTATTTTGCCTGTTATGAACATGTTGGTTAAAAGAATAGTTAGAAGAACTTTGTTTCTGACTTCTCTCTGCACTCCACCTATTGCATGGATTTGTTAAACTGATTTGATAAACTAGGGCTGATTCTCAAGTGACTCCCTACTCACTATGTAGAGCACTATGTGAATTATAAGATTGTAGCTATTTCACATAAATAGTGTCATATATGTCCAGTAGGGAATTGTGTTCATATAGCTGAATCCCAAAAGGCTATTTGTTAGACGTATTATGCACTACACTACACTACATATTATGCACTTATTATTTTAAGACCTGCGTTGTGCATTATGTAGGGAGTAATGAGCCATTGGAGAATCATTCTAAGTATTAGATGGTAACTGTAAATACTGGCCTTCCTCAAGGACAGATTTGGAAGTGTATAACAAGCTGACACACAAAATCACAATGCATTATTTATTTTTGTTTTTGTGTTTATTGTGTGTTTTTTTTTTATAAATACTCACTGCCCATTTATATAGAGGTTTGCAGAGTACTATATATACGCATTATACCGCCTGTTTCCTTTGCAGTTGAATACTTAAAATTTTTGACTAGTTTTAGCTTCTGTTGGGCAAGGACTGGAGATTTTTGTTGGACATGGCAACCCCAATTTGAGGTTTACATCACCAGCGAATCCAAACCAAATAATTTTGTTTTTGGCATTTGAAATGGGTAGAAAACAACATCCAGTCTGTCGGGCTCTCGGGTGTCCCTCAGGAACATCTGACCACATGTGGAGCTACACATGCAAAATATACGCACACAGGAAAAAATGATTAAAGAGCTAAAACTTCAAGGTAAGGACAGATTGCTAAATTTGATAAGGTGATTTAAGGACTAAGAAAATAACATATGAGATTGGTCCATTAAAAAAAGAATGGTAGGTCAAGCTTACAGAATGAACTGTCCTTAGCTGGTGTAAAAAAATGAAGACTGGTTATTTCATCACCGTTCTTGCAGTAATACTGTCTGTATCCCCATCTTCAGTTTTCGCAGTGAGAAAAAATAATTTTGTCCCCATGTCAGATTACCATGGAAATCCATGGAAAAGCAAAGAGAACAGCCAATCAGAACAGAAGTCATTTATCATATATCAGTCTTAAAGGCACCGTGACAAAAAAACAGCCTGATTAATTCCAACAGAAAAAGAGATGTTGGAAAACTGTCATGAATTTTGGTACAGAAAGCCACACAAACATTATGAGCGGACATCAAAGAAAAATATAAAATACATAAAAAAAATGTAGGACATTGGCCCTTGAATTCAGTGAAACTTAAAAGTACAAAAGCAGACCTGGTCAGTTTCCTGACTATGGCAACAGTGGTAAGTCTTGTTTAATGCATTTAATCACATTCCTGACAGAGACTACTCTGGCGTACCACCACCTGCCAGTGTCTGGCAAACAAGTCACTTCTGGGAATGGGTTATGCTAATTGCTGACAACGGTGTTTCCCCGGAATGTGGAACTGTGCACGTGCTTCCTCTCGTGTTGATTTTCCCCCTCAGTGTGTGTTTCTAAGTGTCTCCATGGTAATAAGATGTTGTGCAGTATGGCAAACAATAGCCTAGATATGACGTACAACCTGCTCTCTAGTATAAAAACAAGTCTGCATTAAAAACTGAAGATCTGTCTGACCTTTTCTGACTACATTTGTGCTTTAATATAAAGTCCTGCTGAAATATCTTCACAAGTAAATGAAATACTGAAAAATAAGAATCTTGACAACTCACCTAGGCCAAAAATCAGTCAAGCAAACATTTCAAATTAAAATCAAACAACCTTACAAAATTTCAAAACTTATTGTACATTACATAATTGTAATATTACAATAAACTAAAATAATATACTGATAATATTAAATTAGCGTTAAACTAAACTAATATTTAAATTAACATAAATGCATTGTTTGCCATGTTAGATATAAAAAAAGCATATAACCTTACAGTAATAGTAATTTAACTTTAAAATTGCTAAGAAGTGATAAGTCCGAGATTGTGTTTTCAGATGGTGACCTCTGGTGTGTGGTGGTTTGTTAGGTGAGTGCTGCTATCTTCTGCAGGACAGCTGACTGACTGTGAAAGGTGAAGGTTTGCTGTACTATCCCAGTCCAGAGAAACGGTGCACGCTTTCCACTTTAAAACCTACACAGCGGGAGAAGCACTGAGTTAGCTCCAAAGGAAGGCTGGGAATGAAACAAGAAAAGCTTAACAAATGTCAGGTTAAATAACTAATAACAGATAAACAATGGATAGCATAGTAGCCAATAGTGTAAAGGTGTGAGCTGGGTGACTGAAATTTTACAGCATTATTATTCGGAGGCATCCACTGGCTTGGAAGTTACATAAAGTATGATTTCCTGTTTGAAACTCTTCCCTACCCTAGCTAGTCTCTCTTCTCTGTGAGCTTTTTTGCAATTAAATTTGTACATATATCCACCCGGCACTTCAGCACAGCCCATTCACACTGACATTACAAAGTGTTTTTCAGCCAGAGCTGCTTTTTGTATGGGGCACAATACATGACAGCCAATCAGAACAGAGTTCGCTTACATATCAGTCTTAACGACACAGTAATTAAAACAGACTGTTTAATTCTTAGTTATAAAGTGAGGCTGGACAATTGTCATGTAAAAATAAACCACAATTGTTAGTTAGCACGTAAAACACAAATATCATTAGTGCACCTCAGGGGAAAAATAAATAAAATACAAGAAAATGTATGGTAGAGACTCTTTAACATTTGGGAAAAAGCGGTTCTATTAAATAAGTATTTACAATTTGATGTCATTAAAGGTAATTAAAAACAACCACTTTGCACACATATGTCTTACTGAACACAGTCAACATTCATGCTACGTACTTGTTTCATTTCCATTGTGATATCTAGGGAAAGAAATCAGATTTTTTATGAAGCACATGCACACAATATCGTGTTTTTTTTCTTAAAACTATAATATATAAACTATATATAACTAAAGCTACTGTGCCAGGCTTTAATCTCTCACCAATCCACTGAGAAACAGGCATTAATGGACCATCTACAGACACTCCTTCCAGCAGCTCAGTCAAGCCTATGATCTCTTCAGGGTCATCAACAAACATCTCCTCCGGCTCATCGACACACAGCTCAGTCTCATCTGAGTTAGCCGAGGCTGCACCTGAGAGGAGAATGAGAACAGGGAAAAAATAATAGTTAAAACCATAGCAGCCCAGACACTGAGGTTTCGCTTTGAGTTTGGTTTCTCAAGAAAGGCAGTGACATTGTACCTAAATGTGTCATCCAGCATGGAATTACCACCTGACAGCTCAGAAATTTTGTCACTCACGAAACTCACGTTTATCACTGGCAGGAAATAAAGTTGCTCATTTCCAAATTCCTGTAGTACATAAAGCATAAACTGACTTAAGCTTCCTGCCCTCTGTAAACTGTGAATCATAACTCATTCTGGAGATTATTATAGTTATAGGATTTAGTAATGAAGTTGAACCCATCCTCTACAAGGAACAAACCCCAATATGGCATTTTTCTGCAATACCATAGCTTTTGCACAGGCCACATTTTGTGGTTAATTTTTTCCCAACATGTTAAATTCAGCAAATAAACAGTAATTGTGCCTTAAAATCTGCAGAAGCATGTTCTCTGTACTTTTTTGTATTGCATATCTGAGTTGTTTATATGGTCATTGAGATATTTTCTCTAATTAGTTTCTGTTTTTAGGCCAGAAGCGTGTTTGCAAGATGAGGGAAGAAAACCTGCACTACATATGCATATGTGTGTGTGTGGTTCAGCGACCTCCACCCTGAGGGTGAGGCAGGAACGGTTATACCACAGCGTACCTGTCACATGTTAAAATGTGAAACTGGTGGTGTTGGTGACTTACGTGTCATGTTTTTGCCCTGTTACTGAGTCATTAACTGAAAACGGCCAGGATGACATCCAGGACACGTCATTCCCAATAACTGATATGTTTTCTGTAGATCCATGACATTTCCAGTCATGTGAATGTGTGTACCTGCTTTCTTGCGGTTTCCTTTACTGGAAATACCCCACAGCTGGTTCTCACTGGTGCTTGAGACAGGCTCTGCAAGTTTAGCTTGGAGTTGCCTGGCTTTGTCCAGGTGGAATTTCATTGGCGGAAGCTCGTCCTCACTGTCCTCTGTGTCTAGATTAGTTTTGTCTCTGATATACACTTCTCTGTAGTGTCTTACCCCTGAACACAGAAAACCAGAGTGGCACAGTTATACATTATACATTGATATACAGTGTGAATCAAAAGTTGAATGTAAAGCCTGTATTTTTTAGAAGAACAAAAGATACAGCAGTTCCCAAGTCCAGTCCTAGAATTCCCCTGTGTTGCATATTTCTGTGTGGGATGGAGAAAGAATAAACATAAAAGGGAAAGAGAAAGAGAGCATGAGAAAGAAGGAAAGAGTGAAAGAAAGAAGTAACAGTGAGGGGAAAAAATAAGACTAAAAGAAGAAGAGCCAGAGCCAGAGGCTGAATTTTGATCATATGAATGGGAAGGGGCTGTGTGCGTGTGGCCCTTGACGCTCTGAGTGCTGATGTTGGCTGAGCGTGTGCAAATGTGTTGGCACTGACCTGCTTTGCTCTTGGACAGCTGCAGCTCTTTGACTGGGAGCTTTGTGTTGAGGTGTAAGCGATGACTGTTGCTCATGTGCTTTAGCAGGTGTTGAGAGTGAAGAGTAGAGCGAGTGTACAACACCAGCTTTGACCCAGCCAGAACATCTGACCTGATCTCAAACCTTCTTCCCTGTTAACACCGGAAAATGAGCTTCACTTTATATCATCACTGACCAAAAGTAACTGATTACATTCGCTTTAGTTACTACTTTCTGATTAGATTAGAATTATCAGTGGGAATACTACACCTGGAAGGTAATGTGATCTATGCTTGACCAGACAAATTCATATAAAAGCTGCTGTTCACCACTGACCATCTGGAGATAAAGTAAAACCAGCAATAAACACAAATAGTCTGAACACTTGACATCAACAAGATTTGAATGGAAATAAATAGAGATAACAACGTTTCTTATTTCTCAGAGCATAAAAATACAGGGAAAAGAACCCATATAAATAGTAATGATATTTGAAAGCTAACCTTCATAGGGATTTCATGACACAAACGTAAGGACTTGAAAAACAATTATAATATAATAACAATAATCATATTTAATAAGCAGTACTTCACTATTTATGAACAGCTTTTGTCAGTATTCACTTTTATGATGGAGTTAGCACTGTAGCGACATAAGGACCTTATACTGAAATGATGCATATTTGTTCCATTTATAACACTGTTATATAGGCTGTATGGGTCTTATAAAGGCAAATGCAATCAGCTTTATAATTATTGGACCCTTGGTAAACATTGAGCAAAAAATTGCTCAACCTGAAATCTGAAAATGTGACATAAATTTCACCTTAATCTAATAAGTTAAAAAATTGAATGAAATAAATAATCAAATAAAAATACTTATAATTAAAAATGATAGGGGCTCCCGAGATTGTGACATGAGGGTTTTTGTTATCTTGGAACAGAAGTTTATTTACATTAAAGGTGGATTTCTCTCATATCTTCAGTGTGAGATTCAGCTAATTAACCACGAAGACTTTCTGATCTTTTCTTTCTGTCTTTACCAAGGGTGCCAATAATTATGATGCTTACTATATAATTTCCACAATGTAAAATCCAATTTTTTGTGTTAAGTCTACCTGAGGGCACTGGTGAACTCCTTTTCCTTTCCCTTAAAGTGAATTTAGTAAGTAGACTTAAAATCTTAAGTCTGAGATTTTAACTGAAATGAAAGTCTTCATACATGTATTCACTTTTATACGACTTTAGTTTGAGGGCATCTTTCAAAGCCATTCTTAACTAGGCCTCTGCCTTATAAGTTCCATTGTTTGGGAATTATCTTTCATAACAGCGCTATAAATGAAACAACTGCCAGTCAAATAAGGTGTTACCAATGTTCATTCCTTATAGAGAGCAGATGTCACCTTACCTTATACACATGCAGACCACTCAAAGTTAGGCCCATTAACAGACTGGCTTTTTGTTCCTTTTTTCCCTGGAAAAGAGGAGGGAAGGATGAGGAGGAGGGGGGGGGGCATGTTTGTAAGATGGAAAGTAACAGACATAGTCACTCTTAAAAAAAAATTGTGCAGAGTAGAATCAGCATATGCAGGCTTGATTACCTCAACATAAAATGCAATTGCAATTAATCACTTAATGACAACATACAAAATGTTAAAAAGTACTTTTTGTCATCTGCTTGGCCTGACCTTGTTCATGGTGTAGAAGATAACAGGTACATCACTCATTTTACATGCTTCCTGGATGAAGAGCAGCACAGCATCACACACACACACTCCCCGCAGCTCTCTGTGCAGGGCAGGAATGTGTTGCACAACATAGTCATGTCCACGCTTTGTCAAAATCTGAGTGACAGAGGTGTATGTAGTTATCATCCATATAACACTCCTCATGTAGTATTACATAGTAAATATAGTATTACTCATATAGTATTATTATTATTAGTAGTAGCTATTATTGTTACTGTTGTTGACAGTGGTGCACTACAGCGTGAGATGAGTTTTGAGTTATTTTTGTTATCATACCTCTGCATTACTGACATTGCCTTCACATCATTTGCATTTACCCCACTTATCTACATTATTACTTTTATTTGCATTCTTATACGTATGTACTGCTGATATTGCGCTGGCAGTCTTGCTAATTTGTACATACATCATTTTATATACACACAAGGATCAATTTACCGAATTGGTTCAAAATCAGAATTGAAAACACATTTCAGATGTTTAGCTGACTTTAACTTTAGACTAAAATCTTTTTGCTTTGAGTGACTCTACATTTTAATTTATTTTATTAAAACAAATTAAACATTCCATTTTATCACTAACAAAACAATCATAACTACACTACTGAAACTTCACCAAATGTTTTGGTAGTAATAATGTTAACTCATTTTGAGCATAATTCAAAAATGCTACCCTGTTCATGACTAGCAAACACAGCTTTGCACAGCTGTACACATCATATTATCATCATATTATTTTACATTAAAACATGAAAAGTTTACTTAATTGCATATGTGTTTTGGTAGTGACAATTCTTAAGGTTACACACTGATTTTGAGACTTTGGGACAAATTTACTTTAAAACAGTAGGATTTAGGTGCTCACCATGTGGCCATGAGGGACAGGGATGCAGTCTCACTACCTGCTCTTAAATGCAGGGGTGTGGCTAGAATAAGGCTCCGTCCATGGAGTAAACCTCTGTGTTTTGGTAATGACATGAAAACGTGGGACAGCAAGTAACTCATGATAAATTTAAATCTAAAGAAATAAAAAAGTTCTTTAAAGGAAAAAACAAAGAAAAAATACAAAAGTTAAGTTTAAGTTTAATTGTGATTTAAGTGTAAATTTATGGGACACCTTCCAATAGAAAGTAATTAATGCCTTGAGTTTAAACAGATCATAACATTATCTTTGTAAATATTTAAGATCTAAATTTTATTTTTTATTTATTTATTTATTTTACTTTGGGGCTGCAGTTTGAACTAATTTGGTAGAATTGTCCAGATATTGTCACTGTTGTATCATTATTTTTGAGGAGGGTTCTTTTTTAAACACCATTTAAAGCTGTGTGAACATTTTATGATGAATAGTTCATCATATTCTTCAGTAAAGTCACTGTTTCAGCAAGGTTTTAAATACTATGTTGCAGTACAGTACTGTGCTCTGATGTCTGTATATGCATGTATATATGCTTAGTACATACTTATATAGTACTGTGCAAAAGTCAGAGACCACTCCGCATTCATTACATTTTTAATCTAAAGAGCCATTAAGTATGAATTATTTTTTCTTCAAATGCTTTCAGTTTTTTCGAGGAAATCTGCAGGGAAAATATTTCACATTGCCAAAGTTTAGTCTTAGAAGTTGGTTGCATTTTCTGCTTCTCACAATCCAAATAATCCAAACACATTCAGTGATGTTGAGGTCTGGACTCTGGGGTGGTCAGTCCATTGTTCTAAGAACACCAATAGTTTCTTTGTTTGATTTGCAAAAGTTCTTTTTTGTCTGTTTCCTGTATTCAGTTACAGCTTCTTGACAGCTACACATCCTTTCAGACTCATAGTGTTGTGTTGTCTTCTCACAGTGGAAGCATGGACAGAAACACCTGTGGATTTTATCATATCTGAAGCAAAAGTGGAGCTTGATTTTCTCCTCTCTCTCAAAGATGAAAGCTTTAAGTGCTTTTTATCTGATGGTGACAGTAACACCAGCTTTGGAAACTTCTGTTCTTTCACTTACTGTCCTTGGACTTTCCTCTTCCCTATTCAAGTGGATTACCTTATATCCAATTTCTATACAAATACATCTTTGAGAAATGAATAACTGGCCATTAGGACTAGAAATTAAATGATTGCAGGTTTATCTCTGAGTTTTGCTACATACTATGTGATATATTGTTATTTTTATACTATTCTTTTACTATTTGTTTGCTGTACACGTACGATGACAATAAAACTATCAATTTATTTATTCACACATGCAAACTACAGCCCACCCAAGGAGGAAAGTAGTCATGTGGACTGAAGTAAGATCCTTGCCCCTCTCTCCAGTCTCCCAGGTCAGCCTGTAATGCGTATGCAGCCAGCTGGAAATACAGGCCCTCCTGCCAGTAACACCGCGACCTTAAGACTTGCCCCTTCAGTTCAGCATAGTACAGACTGCGCACCTTCTCCTCTCTGAGCTCAGGAAGTAAGAGAAAGAAACAGGGCTTATGGAATGGAAAACTGATGTTGATAAACAAAAATAAAGAAAGTGATATTACCTACAAAATCTTTTTCGTAGGTAAAGATTTCTCTTAGAAGAACAAAAGTTCACCTACTCAATGAGTCGACCATTTCCTACGTAGTACTGTACTTTCAGATGTAGGACTGTTCTCTCCTGCCGATACAAGTAAAACTGTGCTTATTGCTGTGATGCAAAAATATGTGTTGTTATATTATAAAAGTGCTGAGCTTTTAGTCACCTTTGGCATTACCTCTAATGTGTTGTGCTTCCATGTTTTAGGAAAGTATGTGCTTAGTTTCGTCTCCAGGTCCAGGAACATGTGGTCATTATCTGAGCCAAAATCATTTACATGTACATCATGAGACAAGTCATTACCACATTTCTATTCATGAGTATTTATGCATTTAGAGTATATAAAAAAGCATCCAGACTGTGCTTTGATGAACTCTCAAGTATAGTGCCAGTTCTCTCTTTGGGAGGAGGACAGTCATTAAGTGGATGTTTTTTTTGGAGCACATCCCACTGTGATTAAACAGTGAGTGGCTTACTCAGCAGATACTCCTCACACTCACCGTTCTCTAGACACAGGCCAAAGAGATTGAGTTGTTTAATGCCAAGTTGCTGAGATAGCTGGTTGATTATGTCGTGCCCCCTGCTTTTCAACTGTAGAACACACACACACATTTTTTTATACAGTATACATATACATATTGCAAAAGGAGGAGGGAAGTAAAAGGAAAAGAAATGGAAAAAACTGGGTTTTCCAGAACTGGAAAGACCTGGCAAGCCACCAAAACGCTCACCATCAGATAAACAGTACTTTCAGATCTGAAAAAAAATCCACACCACACCCATCCTTCCACTGTGAGAAGACAACTTAAAGCTGGAGTTTAAAGAATGTGTGGCTGTCAAAAAGCTGCTACTGAGAAAAGAAAATAGACAAAATAGATGAAAGCATGCAAATCAAACAAATAAGCTGCTGATGTTCTTAGAACAATGAACTGACCACCTCCAGACCTTAACATTACTGAATGTGTTTGTGTTTACTTGGATCATGAGAAGCAGAAAATACAACCAACTTCTAACACTGAACTTTGCAGGTGCAGAAAAATATCCGTAATAATTCTGTAATAAAGCCAAAGGATGGACAGAGAATGTAGATGTTATATTTAGATGTTGAGGTATTTGTGTAATTTTCTGTTAAAGACCCAGAGCCTAAATCTGTGTTTCCTTTCTAATTAGGTAACATTAACATTCTCCTTGCAGGCAAACAGTAAACATGTACCAAGTTTACCCTTTGAATTATGTTCCAATGACCAATAAATGACCAGTATATTTCACCATATTTCTCTCCTCTTGATGTAAACTGGGCATCTTGGGTAACATTGCCATAAGTAAGTAAGTAATTCCTGACCAATCACAAGGCTGATGTCTCATGCCCTGCCCACACAAAACAGTTTGAGTCAGAGAAACTTAGCAAGCTAAAGCTAATCCAGCATAAACAAAAGCTTGAAAGCTAGACCACCTGTCTCTGACTACCTGTCGCTCAAGTGTTGGATAGAGAGCTGTCAATCAAGCTGCTCATTAGCCACTCCCACACAGTTCTCAGATAGGTCTGATCAGCAGTTTTTAAACTGTGTTTTATTATTTTTATATCTTGAATTCTATATTTAAGCTTTGCTGGATGCTTAATATAACACTTAAATTAAGTATCATACAAATAATACATTTTAATATTTTACTCTGTGTTTCCTGAGTCTTGCATCAAGCATCAAGAAAAAAAAGCAGCAAACATATATATATATATATATATATATATATATATATATGTATACACACACACACACACATATATATATATATATATATATATATACATATACATATGTTTACTGTTTTTTTTATGCTGAAAAATGAATAACCTGCAGTTACTGGTTACTTTTACAGTACATTAAATAAAAGCTGATATCTGCTTATGTATAGAACTGTGGATTTTAAAAAAGGCAAGAACATTTTGTTGGTCATAACATTGTAGGTTAGCCCTATATTTCTCTGGTTTTGTATGAAAACAAACACATGCACATGCAAAAAGAGATGCAAAACATTTTATCTACACTGTATCTTTATCTCCTGAGTAGCTGTAAAATACATACATACATACAAAAAAACATACATATATATAGCCCCGACGTAGGAGCCACAGGCTCTTTCCAAAAACATGAAGCTTTAAGTCCATTATTACATTATATGTGTTAACTCACCCCCACAGTGATGTCGAGTTGTTTCTTGTCAGGTAAAACCACATGGACCACTCTGGTCTGATCGGTCATGCTGGCCGTGGCAGTAACGTGTTGCGTTCCTCTGGAATTAGAATGCCTGTCTCTTCAGCTGTGTTGTTTTATAAGGTCTCTCACTCCCTGCATTTCTCATCTCTCTCTCCTTCTCCCTCTCCCTGCTCTTCACCATCCTCCCTAAAATAACACCCACTCACATGCAGATGACAGAATCTATGTAGGTAGGTCAGGATACAGAAACCTCTGTGTTACATTACTTATGCAAAATGTGGATATGCAAAAGAGAAACAAAAAATAGCTAGTCATTCGCATGTGTACGCTAAACAAACACTCCAGGTATTTATTTTACTGCACATTATAAATCTACCGCACTTACTTTGTGGCCTCCAGCACTCACAGGGCACCTTATTATTTCATGAGAAATGACAGTGAGGTTGATCTCTGTCCCTAAATAAACACGAATACTAAGGCGACTGCTAAAACCACTGAAACTATGACCAAATGCCAGGCTTTAACAGTACAACACACTGATATGTTAAGGGTATATCGATTTTTTATCGATTTACAGATTTTCGGGTTAAGAGTCAGTTAAATTTTTGAAATTGAATCTGTTAAAAATGTCTTGATTCTGCAGAGCTCTATTTATATATTACATAAATCGGTTTGGCTCAGAATATTGTACAATTTATTGTAAAGTAGCACATCCCGATGCAGAATAGTGATCTTGTGATAAATCGGTGCAACTGAGCTATAAACATTACAAAACTGCCTCATACAAAATCTCACATAACCTGTCTCCAACAGGTTTGGGGGTGACATGGTACAAAGTAACATGTTACATTGATGGGATTACTTTGTCCTGTAATAAATAATAGGTTATGAGTGACTGTGCTACCTGTTACTGCTGACTGAGCAGCTCCAATTCTGAATATTTCTGCTGGTTCCCAGGTTTTCAAATAGTATCAGCCGTTCAGTCATTTAATAAAGTATAATTAGCTGTCTTATTCAAAAGCAGGGAAAGGGACATGCCTTTTAAATGAGGTATCTTTTGATTGGCTGTTTCTTTCAATTGAGGATAAATAAAAGCGCTGAAAGGTATGTAGTGTTTTCTAGGCCTGTGTTGAGTCCTCTTAGGCTGCATAGGATCCGCCTGTGATGTTGTGCAAAGCGGAAAGGAGTGAAGAGGGTCTTTAAGGGGGGTGTTATAAGCAGGAAGTTTAACACTACACAGTAAATGTACAGATGGAAGAAAGTCTTTCAAGTTTTCTTACTCTGCTCATGTAAGCAACATAAACTGCACTGTGTAATAATCCAGCTGAAATTTGTACAGACCTAGCTTGTGCTTATGCCACATCCAATCAGTTATCAGAACTTTGACATGCATTTTAGTGACTGTTATTGAGAGGAGGCTGTTGTCCTGCCCATCTGTAGTTTGTCACTGACGTAATAGATGACCGTTTGGGCCTAACACAGAATATGTTGTCTACTGTACATGGCATCACTGACTGTACATAGTTCTGTGAGAGTAGAAAATTGAAATGGCATGTGATCTGTTCAGCATAGCATATGAGCAAGTTTTTAAAAGATGTGTATAACATTATACTTGCAATGAATTATTGCCATTCATTTGCCTTTCTGATTGCATTGGATCATGGATCCTATCATACACAACCCATTAAAAAGTTAATACTCTGACAACATTGATGTGTTTGTGCATGCTCTGTGAGTGATAGAAATAAGATACACATATAAATCAAATTATTTAATGAATTTTATTTAAAGTGAGGGCAGCACAGTGGTGCTGTCACCTCACAGCAAGAAGGGCCTGGGTTTGATTCCCCGGCCAGGCGACCAGGGTCCTTTCTGTGGAGTTTGCATGTTTTTCTTGTGTCTGTGTGGGTTTCCTCCCACAGTCCAAAGACATGCGGTCAGGCCAATTGGACATGCTAAATTACCCCTAGGTGTGTGTCTGCCTTGTGATGGACTAGCGACCTGTCCTGGGTGTATCCTGCCTTCTGCCCAAAGACTGCTGGGATAGACTCCAACTCCCCCCGCGACCCAGAAAGATAAGCTTTTTAGAAAGTGTGTGTGTGTATTTAAACTGAAGGTAGTTTCTTTGTCTATGAGTTTCATAGATGTTTGACATGGATACTAAAAATGTAAAAAGACGTAAAAAGACTTTGGTTTACCTTATCGGGGATAAAATTTACTTGTCTAGAAGCTTATTCTGGTATCGGTAAAAAGCTGTATTGTAGCGTTCTGCTACTGACTGCGCTGCTGCGCAAGCATGGGAGGTGGTCGGGAGACGCTGCGCTCAGGGTAGGAGAGACATATATTGTGTAGTTGTTGTTGTTAGCTTAATGATGTGCATGTGTTGTGTTATTCTGTACTGGGCTGTGGGTCAGTCAGTGTGCTGCCAGTATCTGCAGTGAAGGGGAAGCTCATGGCTAGAGGTGGCCTGCCTTTGTCTCAGCCATTTCAGCAGTGCTGAGTGACTGTTGTCCCTTGGTGGCTGTTCAATAAGAGTGTTTGCCTTCAAAGCACATGGTTTCCCGCATTTTACTTTGCGCCGACACCACAGTATTATTTTGTATTATGATTAAAAGAAAACAGAGAATTGCAAATGTTTCGCAAACTTACTGTCTGAGCGTTTGTGGCCGCTTCCCTTAGTCATTTGCCTTCTGCTCATGTCGTACCATAGAGGCGGGTTTTTGTACAGGCATGATACCCACCCGCAGCATAGAGCATGAACTCATATAGGTATAATTTACATGGTATTAACCCTTGTGTAGTGTTCGGGTCTGTGGGACGCATTTTCAATGTTTACCAAAATAAAAAATGATGTGATGAATTATTATTTTAACTCCAGATTCATTGGTCTTTGCTCATTTTCTGTGAAGAACATATAACACATACAGTGACTTCACACTGTATGTGAGGGTGGACAACATGGACAGGCTGCTGACTGGCTACAGCTGCTAAAGGAAAACCCTATGCTGACCACTTGTGATATTTTAAACATCTGGTATTTTTACATAAATTGTTACGGCTGTATTGATTAAAAAAATATATACATATACGGTGGGTCCACCAAACCACTGAGTAACAAAAACATGAACACCACACAAGAGTTAATGTAGTATATCACATCACCCGATGGTAACTTGTCACGAGGCGCAGGCCTATCGTTTTCCTTTGTAGCTACCTATTAGTTGGTAAAGATTTAAATGGACTTCAGAGAGTAAGCAGATTACTCACTACTTTCAAGAAAAAAGTGAATTCATCCCATTACAGTTCGAAAGAAGTAGCAATTTGTAATGATTACATTTTAGAATAACTACTCCAATCTCTGAACTCTCTCATCTGATCTCTAACCACCCAAAATTTAAATATCACCATGTCACCAAAGCACAATCATATGTGCAAAATGTGTGCTGAATCTGACAGTACATGTCAACTACGTTACTGTTATGTATTTTCATATTTCAGGGGAGAGACCTTTGGAGGAGACCAAGGAGAGTATCAGTCATACACTTTTAAAATTTAATTCACTGTTTTCAACATTCATATTTTTAAAACTATCAAAATTTTCATGCCTTCAGAATTTACAGAAGATAACACAACTCAAATATGCATATCTGTATAAAAAAGACAGATGTATCATCATTTGTTAATCTATGGTTAATTTATTTTACTAACAAAGTTACCAGTGCTTGAAAACATTGTTTTACAGACACATAAAACATGAAGACACAGCAAGTAACCAGAGCTGGTGAGGGTCTGTATTTAGAGCATGAGCTTATTTCCTTAATACCAGTTTGACTCAGAAAAGTAAAATGGGCATGAACTCCAGGGAGGACACTGCTGTATGTTACACAGAGAGTTCCTGATTAATAATGGTTGTGAAGAATATTCAAGTTTAAAAGCTGTTCTCTTCACCCCATATTCCAAGGTTACACAATGTTTACAAGCAGTATGCTATGGCATGTTCTTAAAGGGGCTGGAGTTATGTGAGCTTGTTTTTATCACAGTAAAGTAACTGCCATATTTAAAACAGCACTATACACATTTACAGTTTAACATATTGAATTGCTTGAATGCACAGACCTTGGATGTCTTGTGTGGTTACAGCACAGGGCTGACGCTTCTATCTGTTCTTAACCACCGCCCACACAGCATAAGCTGAGGGTGGGAACGGCATGTGATTGCAAGACGATTTGTGCTTATTCAGGAAACTTTTCACATCTATTATTTCCCCCCCTGGCTCAACAATGACCTTTTGGCAATGTATGATGACTGCTGTGCCAAGTCATACTGAAATTTATCTGTTTTACAAAAAAGACTTTGTATTGCCTTTAAGGACATCCATTTGATTCACAGTCATTTGAGAGTCAGCTTTAGAGCACTGCTGAACTCAGCAAGCAAGCAATGGACTAACAAACCTCACTGTTTACCTAAGCAGCATATAAAAAGCATGCCTAAACACTAGGAGCATAACAACCATGCACTAGCTGTGCTTCAGCAATACATTCTATTACAATAGACTTTCCCAGGTAACCAACAAGTTTACAGATGAAAACAGATCACGTGCATATGGTGCTTACATAAGCTTAAAGAGACATGCCCAGGGACATGTCCCTCCAGACACCTACTTTCTGTCAAGCCATTCTCAGTTACCAGTGCCAGGAATCACAATCAGTAAACAAAGAAAAAATAAACAGTAGTGCACTATCCAGTAAGTCATTTCTCTATAACAATAACAAAAGCGGGGGGAAAAAAAGACAAAAATAAATAAATAAATAAAAATAATAATTCACAGGACTCATTCAATTGTGCTATGTGCCAGCATCTTAATTTATTTAAGTGGTAGGCCTGTGCCAGCAGCAGCATATTCTCATTCGGGTAACGGTGGAAAATAACTACGTAAACAGAAAAACTCGGACTTAAGGGGGTCGGAAGCAGGGGGTAATTTGAGACAGGCCCCAACACTGAAGCAGGCACAGAAGCAAGCACAGCGATGGCGTCTGAGTTAAAGTATAATTGTCAAATTAAAGAGCATAATAAAAGCACAGCTCATGAACTGGGAGTCTGGCACGTTCAGTGTTCAAGCGTCATGCCCAAAAAAATCTAATATGCTAGTCTAAATAGGCCTAGAGCTTAATTTAAAGAAAATAATCACTTTTAAATCACATCAGAAAATCACAATTTGTTCATCCCTAGGTTTTGTAGTAAGCTGTCATCTTTAAATTGGACACGAAAACGCCATTAATCTAGTCCGAAAGAAAAGAACTGGCAGTAAAATGGTTTTTACCATCACTGGAGGCTGTTACTGCCATAACCCGGTTATCAGTCACCAGACACAGGCCTATTCTATTGTATGTGGAGGTCCAGAAAAAAGTCTATCATAGTAAATTAAAACCCAAATTACACAAGACAACAAAACTAAGCGTACTAAAATAGAACAAGCGGCAAAAACACATTTGCTATGTTTTAGCATTTTCATACACTTCAAGCTCCACTGTAAATACAATAAAAATGAATTATCACAGGAAAAGGCTTACACTAAGCAGATGGTGTGCAACATGCATTTAGCAGTTAGCTTAATTTAATTGTTTAATCAAGAAGACCATTTTCCTTTTGTACCATGATCAACTGGCTATTCAGTATTGGTGTTTTGTTTTTCTGTGGCGGGTAAAAAGCATAAATATCATACTCAGGGATTCTATACATTAATTGCACTGTAATGCACACGGAGAGCTCAAAAAAAAGAAAAAATGTAAAATGCAAAAAGGAGCCCAAGATATCATGTTTTTGCTCCCAGAAATATTTCCATATGGTAAAATCACCCCACTACAGTGGTCAATTACAGTAGTGTGTTCAAAAATCAGCCTGAGAACTAATAATTTCCTAAAAGAAAGGTTTGCTGAATTTTAAAGGACATGCATTTTTTACAGTAATGGCATGCTTTCAGTCACCACAGTCCAATGCCTGAGGTGTAAATTATTCCACAACACACAGCTTTATTTTAACAGAATTACTTTAAAAAATACCTGTAAAGAGAGATTCACTAAGGGATAATAAAAACGGACCTTTTTTTTTACCTATTCAACAAACATGCATCAATTCCTGAATTATAACCACTGTATTTCCTTTTACAAAAGACTAGCTTTTGTGACACAGAATGCAAAATTAGAATAAAAATGAGGAAATCCCCACAATTTCAGCAATGTCCATGATTAGGTGCAAACTGTGTCCTCTGGCCATTTCTCTGTACATTCTGCTACTGCTGTTATAGAACAAGGTAATAGTTGAGGCTCTTTTTTGAGTTAATATTTCTTTACATCTAGTACAATTACACAACAAAAGGTTTCAGATACACTTTTCTACACACATTCTCTCCAAAAGCGCTGGAGAATTAAATGCCCTTATAAATGCCACAATGTGATTTCCTACACTGGCTGACTTCCGTATAATATACTGGTTTAAACTGAAGGCAACCTGTATGCATAATTAGTCACATTCATGTACTCATCCATGCTTAAACAGAAACTAAGCAGAGCCATGAGAATGTAACAATTAAAAAGGCAAACTAAAACTTAAGGCAAAAGACAAACAAACCAGACAACATGAAGAATATATATCAGCTGTCTGAATGGAGGTCTCTTGCAATACAATTGGAATCAGTGTGCTAGCTGCATATCTGTACTCTAGCATGTGTGGGAAAGGATGAAGAAGGGCAAGGCGGGCTCAGTCCAGACCTAGTTGTTTTGCTGAAGGCACTTCTAGGTAAAGCTTTCCATAGAGTAGCACCTTTGACTGTTGTGAGTAGGCAGGAGAAGCCCTTGAGTGAGACAGAGGGGTTAGTATGATGGCCCTACCGCGGGCTCACAGCAGGCTGAAGCCTAGGATGTACTGCAAGAGCTTGTTCCTGTTGGCCTGAGGTTGGAACGTAGCACTCAGCTCAAGACGACACACCCCATCCTCATAGCGCTCCTTCAGCACCTGTTAACCACAAATATCAACACAGATTTCAGTCTCATCTTGTCTCCAGTGACATCATCAGACATGCTCATTTGGTAAATGAGGGTATACAGCATAAAAAGTGACTTACCCCCAGCTCTTTAAACGTTTTCACTGTATTTTTAACGAGGTAGTGTGTAGCACTTTCTCCTAAGCAATGGAAAAAAAAAGAAAGTTAGAAGAAAGTGATGAAAAAATTGAGAACAAATAGACACCTGCGAGACACTCAGCCATTTTATCAGGTACGTCTACCACATAGGTGCACTTTGTATGTGAACAATGACTGACTATAGCCCATCTGTTGCACAATTTGTCAGCCACCATCTACCCCACAGGTTTCAAGGCTCGTCCTGGAGTCTTCCCTGCTCCCAGCACACCCACTTCAAGTCATGAAAGGCTTGTTAATGAGCTCATCTGTTGGATCAGGTGTGCTGTGAGCCAGGAAAACAGGGTTGGGAACAACTGCTCTACCCCATCCATCAATAGAAGAGGACCACTGCTCATTATTTCCTCACTGGTAGTCTCAGCACAGCACTATGTACACCTACTGAAATACCCACACTGCTGGCACACCTTGTAGTTTGGGGTGTTAAATTCTTGGAGGGCATTACCGGAGGTGAACACCCTGCTGTATGTATGGAGTTACAGACTATAGCTCTTATAGCATCTTTGTCCATGCAGAATTTGTGTTCCAGGGCGTTCGGACACCTTAATTGTCCTAATTGTCAGACGCACTGCATCTTATGCTCAAAAAGAAGCAGAACACGCTTCTTAGGGGTGGGTTAACGCATTTTACTGAGAAGTAGGTAGATATAGACAACACTTTGAGAGAATGTGAAAGATAGATGATAAACAATTCAAAACTGACATACGTAACATAAAAAACTGACATACAGTACTGTGCAAAAGGCACCTAAGCACATTGTTTAAAACCATTTATCTGGGGAATAAGTGTTTTTGCTTGTAAACAACACCATGTATCATTAGAATATGCAAATAAACATAAATACAGTAAAAATTAACAAGAATTTCTTATATTTAAGAAAGTAGTTGATATCTTGTGAGGCAGTCTGAAGAACAAGGCTTGGTTCCAGATTTCTCCTAGTCCCCAATCACATATTTGATGATTAACATAATATGAAGATGTTACCCTAAATACTGATTGGTGTGGATGACGTACATCTGGATGGATTTTTCTTAAATGTTTTAAAAATGCAAAGTGCACAGCGCAGACTACAGGCATGCTTTTTAGTTAAGGTGCACGTGGCTCCATAGACAACAAAAAGAAGGGCACCTAAGAGTTTGAAAAGGTGCCATATAAAAGGCCACTTAGTCATCATCTAGCCCTTTCCATTGATCATCTCGTCTCTTTCCACTGGTGGATTGTGAAGAATGTGACTGATAATTTGTGCAGCAACAGAGGCTACAGTCACACAGCTAAAATGATTCAGATTATTAAGGTATTTAAAGGGAATACAACACCAAAGGAATGAATCCAAGGTGATGAAGACTGACCGTAGGCTGCCACTCCTTTTTCTGTGCGCGTGAGCAGGAATTTGAAGAGCTTCTGAGTGTACTCTCTTTCTGCCATGGGTGAGAGTAGGCTGTGCACAAAGATGGCCGCCCCGCTGTAAGCCTCCATCACAGGGCTGAGCACTCGCTGCAGAAAGGTGAAGAACTCCTGGTGCTCAGGTGATGAGCTCACCTGCATCATCATACATATTATTACTGAAATATGACAATGAATACTGTCAACAATCTCAAAAAGCATATTAACCTGATGTACAACGCCCATCAAAAGTATAAAAACACCTAGCTTTTCTAAATGTTCTTAATAAATAAAAAATATGAGAATAAAAATCTACAAATCAAGCGTCTCTGAAAAATTCAATAGACACTAAGATGTCTCCAAACTTTTGATAGGCAGTGCAGACTATGCAACACCTTTGCCTTAGTTTTAACGCTGTAAGAGATAATGACTGAAAGCACAGAGCAAAATCGAAACAATGAAAAAAATAAAAAATGTACCAAAAAAATCACCATGTTGCTATCGCAACAACACATACTACAAAACACCTCTATGCTTGCTTTGTAAGAACAAGAATGGCTCGGAGACTATGAGTAAGTGAGCCTACACAACACGTGACAGGACTACTTCCTATTCCTGCTGACAAACACCTGCAAAGCACTCTACTGAGTAATGGAAAATTACTTGAAATAGGGTATAGTGTTACAAAGCACAAAAGTCATAGGATTCACAGTGTGGTCATTCTTAAGGGGATGTTTTAAAGGGGAATTCCACAGATTTCTCTGAATATCTGCATAATTAAACTGTTGCAATGTAAATGCCATTCAGTGGTTTCATGTGAAATGCACTGTTCGAAAGAATCTTAGAGTGAGAATGTTCACAGTGGTGGTGATACAAACCAGATGTCTAAAAAGTTGAATGCTTTTAAAAGCCATCTCAAGAAAGTTATTACATGAACTGGTTATGAATAAGTTGTCTTACATCTGAGACATTGTTTTACAGTAGTTTTTAGAAGATTTGGGTCTAAAACATATTTATAAAATTCACTGATTGTGAAGAGGTACATACAGGGCATTGTAAAGGAAAATAGCACCCAAAGAAACTTCCTAAGATTTACAACTATCTTACCAACATTACATATAAAAACTTAAAAGACACATGTAGATTTACTGGTTGTTTTGGATAGTAAATAAAATGGTTACATTTGTGTTGTAAACATCACAGCCTCTGGTTCTTATCACCATCACTGTAAAGATTGGTTATTTTCTCGACAACGCACCATTTCACGTCAAACCACTCTGAATTAATTTAACATCACAGAAAAATTATTTGAGCTCAAATTTTGATCAATCAGTGGAGTTCTTTATGAAGGAATGTTAAACATTCAAATATTCAAGTTCTCTAACATAAGAGAGGCTTGCTATGGTTTACCTTCAGATAGCGGTCCCTCTGCTCCTCTCCAAAGTCACTGTCCTCGTCCTCTTCGTCGCTTCTCCAGGACAAGGGCTCGGGGAACTTCTTAGGCCATGGTTCCTCTGTGGGGCTCAGCTCCTCCTGGTCCTCCTGAACACAACACCATGCAGCTGGATGTGAAGAACTGCCCATATTTAGGCTTGTTGTTAATGTTTGCCATAAGTGGGCTACATATTACAGATATAAGGTATGGATAAATTCACTAAAACAGTTTTTCTATTACTCTGTCATTCACAAAATTCACATATATCGCCAGCACTGTGCCACTGTGCATGGAACATGCCCCCCCCGGTGGCCAAAACCAAATATTGCTGAGACTAAACTTCACATGCAAATACAATAAGTTACTTTTAAAATTCATATGATAACGCTAAATAATAATAACATTAGATATCTGTAGGTTTTTCATCAGCAATCCATGTTGGTAATGGTCCAATAATATTTGTGCACTGGGACTTCAGCAGCAAACTACAAAACCATGGATTTGAACCATTCTTTTTTTAACCTAAACATGAATCATTTTGCAAAAAGTGACTCCATTTCTCCTTTTATTATTCTGAATGGTTATTCTGAATGTAAACATATCACAAGCAAATTGGTGCAAAAAGTAAAAACAGTACCTAGGAGGAGTTGGGGCTGTGTGTGCTAGCTCACTGAAGAATCTAAAATATTTTATGGTTCTGATTCATTTAACACTTTCCTTGAATGATTCCCTAACTACTGGACAGAAATTATAAACTGCTGAGTCACAGTTAACATTATGATTTTTTCTTTGTTTACAGCTCAGTGTGCATGCTTATTACATAAGCCTCTAAAGAGCAAAAAATTACTTTTCACCAAAAAGTCAAGAAAGAGATTTAAATCCAGACACACAGCAAAGAAGACTCACTTCAGCCACAATCAGCACGCCATACTGTATCAGTCTGGTCACAGCATCTTGGAAAACCTGGTAGACTGTCTGACACGGCTTTAAACAGAAGAGATGAAGCGTTTATATCAGCAGGCCATGACTAGCAAATATATATGCATGTACAAAAAATGAAAGCTTGCACTAGCTTTACTACAGTCATGTCTAGCCGGTCATTAAATTTGATGCGTCCTTTAACCACTAGACAATCAGCTGATGCACCATAATTCTACTGTGTGCTAGCTCATAAACGTTCAAGTTTAGCCATGAAAGCAGTTGCATTAAAAGATTTGTCTATTAACAGTAAATCTACCATTAGATTTACAGTCTACTGTAAATGATTGGGCACACTTGACTGAATGCAAGCTTTTTACAATCTGAAAGATATTTTCTTCTTAATGCTTATATGCTTGCAATGTGTCTCTTATGTTCTATGTTGTCTATTAACTTATTTCCAAAGCAAACATTTAAAAAACAATTAATCCTCCCAAATAAGTATACAGTTGTATGCACAAGTTTGGGTGCCCCTGGTCAAAATACATGTTTTCTTGATTTACTAAGTGAAAATAAGTCAACATATCCTCTACAGGGATCACACTTCTGCACATTTTAGTGCGCAATTACTGTTTATTTGCAGAACATGTGGGGGAAAAAAATAAAACATAAAATGTGGTACAAAAATGACCAATACCAATTATTAAACAGCAAATAAATATATTTTGCACTAAAATATGCAGAAAAAAGTTTGATCCCCTTTGAGGATGTTATGACATATTTTCACATAGAAAATCAAAAAGATAAGGGTGTTCAAACTTTTGAACTTCTGTATTTTGAGCTTCAAGATAGTTCAAAAAGTCAATCCTCATGGAGCTGCTTGAGGGAATGCTACAAGTGTACACAGCTATTTCAAGGATGGCTATACTTAAAAATCTAAAATACTGAATAGTTCTGATTCATTTAACACTTTAAACAATGCACAATTCTCTAACTATTGTTCCATAGTTTTCATTCTTCACTATTATTCTAAAATGTGGAAAATAGTAAAAATAAGGAAACGCTTGTTTTGGAACATCCAAACTTTTGACTAGAGATGCAGATTTATGTCATTGCAAGGTATTTGAGGTTCACAGAAGCTTTACAAAGGGGGATGTATGTGGTGTGTGTATATAGTGTGTTATGCTGCACTTTTGCAGTGCAGGACTCACTATGGCAACAAGCACTTCATTGGAGAGGAAGTGGGAAAGGCCTGCTGCTCTGAGGATGAGTCTCTCCTGGCTGAGCAGATTGGAGGAGGAGCCAAGTTCACCCTCACATGTCTCTGCAGTCTGCTCCCTTAGCAAGGCCAGAGTGCTACACGCTAAAAACACAGACACAAACACCATTAACATCATTCGCTGTCTCTCAAACACACTGTCCATGTCTGGTTATGGTTAACTATGCTCTTACTACTATGACTATTCATTAGTTATGATGATAACAGCATGATTAATCATCACCACACAGTCATTTGTTCAGTTTGTGCTGCATATGACTATTAGAATTAGGGTATAAAATAGAGCTAGGGTTCAAAAATGCTTGCTATGTATCGATCTGAAAGCGATTCAACTGCGTCAATTTTGTAATTTTTTTATGTGGAAATTGATTTTCAAAGATGAACACAGATGAGCCAAAGCATCATGACCACTCAAAGACTCATCTAATAACAAGAGTGCATGTCAAAGTCTGGGATTTATTAGACAGTAAGCAAACTGCCAGTTCTCGTAGTCGATCTGTAGGATGTACGAGGAATGGGCAGGTGAGAAGACCTTTGACAAGGTCCAAATGGACTAAATCATTATGGCCAGATGACTTGGTTGAAGCATTGCCAAAACAGCAAGGCCTGAGGGGTGCCTCCGGTCAGCAGTGGTGAGTACCTACCAATAGCAGTCCGAAGAGGGACAAACCAAGAACTGTCGAAAGGGTTAACAAAGCCTATTCCATCTGATTCAAACTGACAGAAAGGCTACTGTGGCACGAGTCACAGACATGTTTAATGATGGTTACAAGAGTAATGTGTCACAACACTGTGCATCGCATCCTGCTGCGTGCGGGGGTGGGTCCGGGCATCAGTTTGACACGTTCCACAAGTTATTCCTCGATGGCAGTGGCCTCCTTCAGCAGGATTATGCACCCTGCCACAAAGCACACATTGTTCACAAATGGTTTGAGAAACATGACAAAGAGTTCAAGGTGTTGCCATGGCCTCCAAGCTCCCAAATCTGAATCCTATCAAGCATCTGTGGGATGTGCTGGAACAAGTCTGATCTGCAGCGGCTTCATCTCGCAACTTACAGGACCTAAAGGATCTGCTTCTAATGTCTTGGTGCCAGATACCACAGGGCACTTTTAGAGGTCTTGTAGAGACTATGCCTCGGTGGGTCCGAGCTGTTTTGGCATACCGACAGCATATTAGGTCATAATGTTGCGGCTCATCAGTGTATATGCTCACTACAATTTTTTGTTGTTTTCAAACGTAACAACTGGCTCCTAGAGCAAGGAAAAAGCTTGATGTATTGTTTTTATTGTCCATTTTTCGCTACCTTTTAAATAGTTCCTCCAATCAGGTTTGCATTCAATACATTTTTAATAAAATCAGAATAACAGCACAATAATCAAATGACTAATCATGGTACTGTGAACTGTCTTCTAAAGAATTGAGGTTAGAGGTTTACATCCTTTAACACAAAAACAGAATGACTAACTGAACAGACATCTGAACAAACAAGTTTAGGAGAGTACCTATGATGGCGTCAGCAATGAAGACATGGAAAAGGCCATTGCTGTAGAAGTTGAGCTCGAAGAGTGCGGGTACGGTGTTGTTGGGAGTGATGATGAACTCTGTGTTTCTGTTAGTGCTTGTCACATTCACACAGTTGCCCAGGAGGTTGAGTGCATGCATCACCACATCCTCGGAGTTCCCCGAGAAACCCAGGTCGAAGTCTCGTGACAGGATCTCCTCCTTCATGTTGAAGAAGTCCTCCACCAGCTTGGACAGCAGCACACCCTGTACGGCCAAGGAAGGTGCATTATTGGATTTGTACTACAGTCATCCAAACTATAAAAGTTGTACAATAGAAGAACATAAGAAGAGGCTGTGGTTTAGACACTTTTGGCAACTTAATGCTCACCTTTCTGTGTTTGTACAGCAGGAGGCAGGCCACAATGTGAGTAGACATGATTGCTGAGGACTTGCTCGCAGCTGTGACAGAGCAAAACAGAATGGTCAGCCTTTTCTTATTATATCAGAATGCTCCTAAAATGGATGCATCATTTTTATACACTTTTATAAATCATAGTGTCTTTGTGTTTAAAGATAATACATAAGGTGTTTTTCCACTGCAGAGGTTCTGGAACCTTTAGCACCAGAAAACTGAAATTTATATTTAAATCTGTAATACATTATTCAAAAAATTTTCAAATAATACCTTTGAATGTATAGGACTACAGGCTATCGTACACTGGATGCCACTAGAGAAAATGATGCCCCTCAGCATCTCACTGTTACCGTCAATATTAAACCCAGACTCCACATATTAAGGCTTGAAATTTAGATCGAGAAATGCAATCAATCTAAAGTCAGTCTAAACAGACAAATGCTAATCGTCTGTTTTTACTTCACTTAACGTTAATGTTACTAGCCTAGTCATATTTCACCTTTAAGCCTGGAAACAGTGAGTTTCTGAAGAGTTAGTTAGCAGACAACAAATTTAGTGAATTTAACAAGTTATGTTGAAAGTTTTTTCTATTAAACCTACTTGAGTGTGCTCTCTGCAGATGAAACCAAAAAGTTAGTACACTACTGTTCTAGGTGAAGATGAAGTCACCAAGCACTATTACAATGAGTTTGTTAAGGTACTGTTTTACGTCAGCCAATAAGTTTAGCTAGCAAGTAAGACGGCTAATTACCCAAATTAAATGTTTTTACATTGGTCACGGTTATTGTGATTGTTCCAGCTGTCTCAAGTAGAGAAGTAGGTAGCAAATGAACAAGCACTAGAACCTTAAGTTCCACTGGTTCCTGTTTGTGTCAGTTCCTGTGTTTAAATGTGCAATGGAAAAAGAACCTTTGTGTTACTTTTAAAATCATTAGTGTGTTATTTAAAGCGTTGTTCTAATTACAAAATCTGTGACTGAGATATGCTGTGCTATAGTAGCTTGATAGTAAATGTTTTAAAATTGTGAGCACAAATTTACAAAGTGTTGTAAATTGTAATCTTTGGAAGTGTACCCTTGTTTTTATTAAAGACACAATTAAGTTATCTGCATTAAGATGGTGAGGGTGAGGAACTAAAAGAACATCTTTAGAATTTCAACTAAAAGCGGCACAAAAGCCATCTCAGCATTTAGATACATGGCAGATATATGGCAAGTGCAGAGAAACCAGGTTCATGTCAAGTTTATAAGTCAAGTATATTAAACATTTACAAGCAAGCTGCAATTCCACTCCTCTCCATATCCATTGACCTGTTGTCCTTAAAAAAGCACCACCAACAGAGTGCATTCAACTTAGCGGAGCATGATTGGCTGAGAAAAACACGCCACCAGAGTGAGGACTGCATAACCAATAGTAACCTCTAAAGGCTGTCAGTCATTTAGCATTCAGGCAGGCTGATTCAGAAACAGAACACATTGCCTGACTGTAGCGTGATAAGGAATGCAGACTGCAGGAGAGGTGGCTTTAAATAAAGCTTTAAAGTATTATTGTGTTCTTACTGAAGAGAACATGCTTGGCCAGGTTAGAAATAACCTGTCTCCTCCAGGGCTCATCGGACATCTCTCTGGAATCTGGGTGCTCCTCTTCCTCTTCGTTAAACAGTGGCTGATCTGGCCTATTGCATGAAAAATACCTCTCACAATCAGGTAAAAGTACAACAAGCTAACTGTATCAGAGAAAGTATAGTACTGTTCAAAAGTTCATACACCTACTTAAAGAAGAATTTTCTCTAGATTACCATGCTTCACATAATAATGAACACAGTAAAACATCCAGAATGCCTTGTGCTTGATCAAATCTTATGTAAGATAACTTCTCAATAAATGACTACAAAAACATCATTTCAGTGTATTATTTTGTAGTATTTATAATTTAATAATTTCTCGGTGTTCCCACAAAACTTGGAATCTTGAACAAAATATCTTGAAATACCTTCTGGTGTCCAGCTTATAGTATTTTAATCCACAGCGTACAAGTTATTGTATACAATAGCAACAATCATTAATATGATAAGTGATTCCCGAACGTTTGAACAATACCATATATTTGTCAATCAAATTGACCGAAATCTCCAAGATTATGAAAAACATCCATTCAATCAGTGTGTTTAAAGTATTCACTGGTACTATAAGTGGCTGAAGTGTGTACCTTGCTGCGATGATGGTGGGGATGAGGATTTGCTCCAGAGTGAGAGGGGCTGGGAGATGCCGACAGCGCTGTGTGTCCAGGTACTCCTGAGACAGAGGGAAAGGACAGCTTGGTCTCAGTGAGGTACATTTTTGCAGCCCAGGAGGTCTGTTAAGGGCCTCTCAGCTGTGCCACAGGAGAGAGAAATTACGTGCTCCTGACCTTGAGGGAGAAAGGCTGAGTGAAGTCCACTCGCACACAGCCGTAATTCTTCCGCAGCATTCTGAACACACCACAGGCAACTCCCCAGAGGCTCTCATTCTTCTTAGGCTTACCCTGGACAGAGCAGAGAAAGCACAGACATTTTGTTGGTCACTTATCTAAAGCAATATATAAGGGAGAGGGGAGAGAAGGGGTAACAGGTTGCTAGGAGGGCTGTGACTATCAATTATATTAGTGAGCGAGTAATTTGTGTATATTATATTTTTTATGTTTTTTTTTTTTAAAAAGGCCAACTTCAACTTTAAAAAAAATCCAAAATAGTTAATTAAAAAAGACAAAAAAACCTACACAAAGGTTCTTTGAGTATTCATGCTCAATATTCAATATTCACTTTCTTGACTAAAGAACCCTTGAAGAACCATCTTTAAGAGTGTAGTCTCTAACAACACAAGATGCTCGTTCAATGGTTAATGGGCTAGTTCACTTGTTTCTTCTTGTGTTAAAGGAACACTCCAGACAGACTAGGAAAATCCCCTTCAGATGATACATCAAAGAAAGGAAGTGCTGAAAATGTTGTGTGCATGCACACATTCACGCTGCCTTTTGTGTGTTTACATGTGTTTTTTTCCTGTTAGCTGTCGAATGCAGAGAAAAGCCAGACAGCAAACATTACTGCTCAGAAGCTGGAAAACACATTTCAAACAGATTGCCCCAAAAAAGTCCCCCAAAGCAGCTGTAGTTGTTGGCCAGAGTATCCCTTTAAGTTAGAGCAGTTCTATGACTCTTACCAGCTGCTCACTGTTGTAATTGCCCTCAATGATGCGGTCATAGGAGATGCCTACAGGCACGATGAGCACATCTGGGATGCTGCCTGCACACATTGCATCCACCACGATGGAGAGCATGCCTGCCCTTGCTGGAGACGGTTTCCCACTGCGTGAACGTGTGCCCTCCAGATAAACCTCCAAAAACTGCTGCTGCCGCAACAACTCTTCTGTGTACTGGAAAATAAAGCAGCAGCAGCAGAAGGGTGACCACAAATTCACTGAGCTCAATCACTACTTAACTTACACAAAAGAGCCGTAACAAAAAAAACAAAAAAACATTGTTACCATATATATACGTACAGGAAAACCATCACCTCAGAGACAAATTTCAAGACTTGTGATTATCTGATACAAATAAATTAAAATTATAACTATTTAAAGAATGCATATCATGTAAAATGCAATTGTGCTCACATTTTTAAAATGAAAAAGTTATGTTGTATGCAAACATTGTTAAGTTTCAAAATATAATATTCACTCTGCAGTCCATACACTCCATATTTGGAAACTTAAAAAAAAACAGTACACAGTACAAGTGTAAAAACAGCTTGTTTTGAATTCACTGTCACTGCAAGGTAAAAAAAAAGCAACATTTTTACATATATAATGTTTAATTCTAAGGCATGAAGAGAGGTTGAAAAATAAAAATGAATTATGACTGCTTTTGGTACATAAAACCACACACGTTATAACCGGACCTCAGACGAAAAAACAACAAAAATGAAAAACGAAAAGGATATGGGCCCTTTAAAAATCATAACCTATGAATACCTAAGAATAACGACAACCTTCAAAAGTTTTTGCTTGTCCTTGCATAAGAAAGGCAATCGGATAAGGCTGGAACCTTTCTTACTGATGCTGAACAAACATAAGGTGTTGATCTCATCCTGCAAAGCATATGAATGTTTTAACTGCTTTATTTAGTAATTAAATTTCACTTTAATTTAAACACTACAGCATCATTAAAACATGCGTCTGTCATGTGTCATTTTTGCCTGCCTCTCTCTTTCTCAGTTTTAAAATTCTTTTCATCGTGTATTACAGTATCTCAAGATCCTTGTAGCTCTCTGCTCTTCACATAGTGCATGGTCCCAGGCATGAATAACTCCTATTTCAACTGTGCAATAGACTACAAATGCTCTAAAAGGAGAAAGGAACTGGACACCTGGTCAGTTCTCCTACACAAACAGTCACTGTGGGTGATTTGTGCTCAAAGGAGACACAGATTTTACATTCATCTGCCCACACAGTACTACATGGACAAAGTGCAAATGCAAAAAGAGACCATATTTTGGCACACCAGCAGCTGCGTGAGTCTATATTTAACTACTTATTTACTTTTTGACTAAAATTGCAACACCAAATGTAAATGCTTCTATTTGTAATTACCGAATGTAACAGAGATCTGTACAGGACATCTTTCTTTCCATCAGGGGCCTTGTCCAGCTTACGGCGAATGAAGAATCCTCCCAGTTTACGAATCAGTGTGCTAAAGGGCAACAGTTGGCAGAGTATAAAAAATGTACACAAACACAAAAGTACAATGAGGCACTGTTACGCGCATATGTTGTCAGAAATGATACAAAGCCCTTTACCTGAAGATGGGGATGTTGAGGTTGTTGCCAGCAGCGATGTGTGGGGCTTTGATGTTGTGACAGAAGAGGATGAAGGTGATGAGAAGGTAGTCGATGTGAGACTTATGGACAGGGAGGAAGACCAGTGGAGCATTGTGCTGAAACAAAGCAAATAATCCAAAATGTTTACCTGCACAAATTGATTTTATATATATATATATATATATATATATATATATATATACATACATACATACATACACATACACACACACAGTGCACTCTGGGGAAGATTTAATGTACTGCGCCTTCGCAATCCACATTTTGCCTTTAAAAACTGGCTGTTGCGATTTACTAAACAAATCGCAACACTGACTTTACAAAATGTACTAAACTGACTTTTGCTTCCCTGCATATGCACTTATAGGAGCTTCCTTTTCAATGCACAAAATACTGTGAGAAGATTATTATAATGAAGCACCTACTCCCATTCACCAAGACTTACATTACTGACTGAATTATTTAACGCCTGTGAAAAGCTTGTCTTCTTTATGATGCTAACATGGATGCCATTAGTTGTGCTTATAGAAAGTTTTTTAAATTCATTTTTAAAATTTTGATAGGAAAAAACACTTGTAAAGGACTGCCATGTCACATTAAGCATAATGTGATATAGGAAATAATAATAAAAAAACATATAGAAAAAGAATGTTTTAAACTAGTATTTCATAAAACTTTGGGTAGATTGTACAGCACTATCAAAGAGCAGCTTTTGCCTAAATGATGTGACAGTTTTGCCAATTTCAGGCCAGCTGAAAATGAATGTTTCAAAATAGAAAGTCAAAATCATTTATTTTCTCTAATTTCTGATTTTTTGTGTAAAATTAAAATCTTATTTTCTCAAAATAATTATTATGTTGAAATAATCACTTTCTCAATGAGTAATAACTCATGACATTGTCATTATTTTGAATTCCTAAGTCAAAATCTTGAGAAAGTAACTACTTATTTTGACCTAATGAGTCAAATAAAAAATTTTTTTTCCTAGCTAGCAGTAACAGCGTTCATACAAAAAGCATGTGAGCCAAAAACATGTTTATGTTGCGCTGGTCATATATTAATTACAAAGTTGTACCTGTCTTCATTTTCAGGGAAGTTTGTAGTACATAACCCGCTAAACTGGCCACCCATACCAGCGCAACGTGTCAGGTGACTGTTGATTATTAGTGCCTCTTAGTAAATCTACCCCTTTGTGTGTGAAAGTATGGCAAATAAGGATAGTAAGGAACCCAATGTGACATTCATGTCAGATCAGATATCATTTCTCAAACATTTTTGTGAAGGTCAGATTAGGATTAAATTTCCCATTTGGGTTTCTCATAATCTATTTCCTGCCTACAGTTTCTACCAACAGTCTGCGTTCACCCCTACTTTAGTTTGTCTCTCTACTTTATTCTTCCTGCCTACTTTTATGACCTTACTCTAGAGATATGGTAGTACAGTGTTTGGAAAGCTGCTAATTCTATTCTATAAGACTATTCTATTACAGTTTGTATATGGCTGATCTAACGACACTGATCACTACAAGGTAACAAGTCAGTCATGATCATTAGTAATGTGGAGTTTGATTTAATTTGGTTGGCAATGCTTGAGATTTAATTCTGTTGGGATACAGTTGGGTTCAAATTCAAAAGTGGGTGTGTTTCTCGAGTTGGCACGAACCTGGGCTATACGTTCAGGCTCTGTCCAATATTTCACGCCTGATTAAAGGTATAACTTGAAAGTAATAGCAAACTTCAGAGATAGAGATTTCACCTCAGTGGCAGCTTTCTTCACCATCTCCAACTGCCCTTTATGGATCTGAATGCTCCAGAAGAAACCATTAAACAGTTTCAACAACGTCCATCCTGTCAACCTATAACAGACAATACACGTGAAGTTTTTTATAGTAAGCCCACGAACCTGACAAAGAGCATGGAAGAGGGTTTAGAGCTTTTTATTACAAATAAAACACAAACCTGATGAGGCTAGGGGAGATATTGGCCACCATTTCCTGTAGCAAGCTTCTGGCCTTCCGTGTCACTTTACTGAGAGCCTTCTGGTGTGTTCCAGCCTCCTGGTCTTCAGCACGGGCCTCTGACACCACCTCCTCTATAGCACTCTGCACTCTGTGAGAAGAACACAACAAACCCACTAACTCTCACTCGCTCTTTCACACCTATGTGATTAAACTTATGTGATTTGACAATTTTAACACTGCAATGTTAAAAGCTCCATACAATGTTATTTTTGCACCAAAAAGGAGATCTGCAGTTTTGCCAGGTAAGGGTGAGGGTGGCATTAACTGTGCAAAAGAAGCCATCCATTAGTCAGACAGAGATAAAACTAAAACTAACCATTAATGGAGGGCTTCTGAACAGCACCAAATACAAATATGAGCTTGAGATGGAAAGAATACACAAACACAAATGCAAGTTTTCTTGCACAGGTTAGTTTTCAAACACAGAATTTTTTAATGTATTTTTTTGTTATTTTGTTATTTATTTCTTTATTTTCTCATATTTCTAATTGGCCCAATTTGAAAAAAATTACTTGTCTAATTAGTGGCCTAATTTATTAAATTCAAGAGTATGAATATGTCTCGTTTTAATCAGTGTTTTTTTTTTTTTTTAATAAAAAGACTGAACAATGATTCAGAAAAATTAATACTGTCCGACCCTAAACTTTTTAAATAAATAAATGTGCCAAAAGAAGTTCTTTGAGCGATGCCATTAAAAAAAAAACAGCTTCTATGAAGAACTTAATATAAATGTTCTATACCAATTTAAGGGCTCTTCCTAGAACCTTTACAGTAAGTGGAGGTTCTTTAAACTTTAAAATGTTCTTCTCAGTTCTCCGCAGCTGATTAGTGGCTGTATGTGGGTGTGTATACAGGTGAATGTTTTTTTTTTGTCTTCCTTTTTATGTTTCTGAATGAGCTCCACACTTAAATTCCAATGTATGTTTTTTAATACTTACAAATGGCAATCAGGTAGAATTGAACTGAAGCATCCACTGAAAGGTACTTTAGGCATCTCAATTCTTCTATGGCATCACGCAAATAACCCTTTTTGGCGGCTTTATTATTTTTTTTTCTAGGTTGTACACATCATATGTGAACCCTATGTATGTTCCTACTTGCTGCTGTTGAGGACATTGTCCACCACGTTTCGAGCGAACATGTCCTTGCGGACATCTCTCTCCAGGACAAAGAGAACGTAACTGAGCCTCCGTGCCAGCCAGCCTCTATGTCTGCAAGCAAACACAAACACATGCATTCATTATAGTATATGTACTTCAGAGAAAAACAAACACCAGAATTTAACATGCAGGCATGTTTCTCCACAAGCCACAGGTCTAGGAGCTTTAATATAGACATATTTGTAACCTATAATAAAGCCAACTGTGCCCACATCTCAATAGCCCCTGGTGCAGATAATCAAATTTACCCTTTATAATTTCTTTAAGCATGAAAGGCAGGAAGAACCAGCTTAGTCCACTTCTGTCATTGGTCACCGGATCTGAGCTTGTGGTATCCGCTGACAAACAACCTTAAAAATTCATGCCACTGGTTTCCACTCCTTCACCTCACTGATTTCAACCTGACTCCCATGCATAGCCCCAGAGTGGGGCAGTCACTATTCTATTAAAGGTTAGATGTCATTGTGTGCATACTTGTAAGGAGCTTGGGTAATAAGCCTGCAAGAAGGATTAAGGAGTTTACTACAGGTGTATGCCTGACAAGCAGAGCTGGACAATATGACAATGTTTATCGTTATTGTGACAAATTCCATTAAACTGTCACAGTATGCTTTTCTGGGCATATTGTGAATATCGTCAGTACTTACAAACAGTTTCCAACTGCGTGTTTGATTTAAAGAGAGCATAATTAACCCTGCAATTAATCCTGGAATTATCACAACACAGTGTGTGAAATGTTGAATACAGATAGAATGGATTGACAGTTTTTGGTATTTTAAATGCGTCACTTCTTCGTCTGTTACAGCTTATCAGATGTCAGAAAAACTGTCATATCGACCACCTTTACTGACAAGGACTCTTGGAATGAGAATTACAGGTCTGTGTTTACCTTGTGTGTGTCTCATTGATGTAAATCACATTGCGGAGTCCTAACGAGGGGATGCTAGAGTTGAAAAGCCGCTCCTGAAAGATAATAAACAAGACAAGGAAACAAAACATAACTAGTTGTCAGCTAGCACAGAAAAAACTTCCTTATATTCATCTTATTTTTAAAAAAAGTTGTCAAAAGGTACAACAAGCAATATTTTGCAAGTCCCTGGATGATACCTAATCACATGGCAGACAATTAAGTGTTCTTTTAATTGTATATAAAGTATACTGCCATTTGTGATTAGTTCTTAATATTGCTCAAAGTAATAAAAACTCTTGGCACTGAACATATATAGCGTGTGTACTTTTACCTGCATTAAGTGATCCTCTACACTGTCAAAGCGGTATTGGCGTCACTCAACAATACTGTTTTCTGAGTTCTAGAGATATCGATAGATGACAAAATCTCAATCTTAATCTTACTTAACTGTAATACAGATCATTTGCTGGGTGCAACAGACTGTTTTCAAAGAACAGTTTAAATTACATAAAAACTAAATAAATGTTTCCTTTTTTGAAATGTGTTTTTTTTTTATCTGGATCAAAACCTTTGGTCTAATTTGCTGAGAAGCAGAGCAAAACAACAGACAAACTGCTGCAAGCTATATCAGATTTATAAGACATTCTTTTTACCAGTACTCAGGAAGAATGGTTTCACTGACTTTACCAATGCAAACGCAAATAACATCTGACACCATGATTTTGCAAGATATTTGAAACATATCATGATACGGAATCACTCAGTTCTACTTTTCCCAAGCACACAAAAGGCCTAAGTTAACCGACCTGACTCTGTGGTGTGCATGAGTGACAGCACCTCCCGACAAACGGCCGTTTCCTGTTCAGCAGACCATCCTTCCATGTGTTTGTCACGGAGCGTAGGACAGAAGGGCTAAAGCTTCGATCCTGACAGAGCAGACACAGAAATATTAATCTGTAGTGTATTTATCAATATCCAAAAAATCTACGTTTTATAAGGTAAATGCACACAGACAAAATTCACACAGCATTTTTACCCCCTAATCTAACTCAGCCTGTTCTACTTTCTCAGGCAATTTAACTTGCTTAGACCTTTTTAAGAAGCATCTCCTACCTGCATCCCATGTGTTTGTTTACATTAACTTACTCTATCCTGATGTAAAGTTTTACTTTCAACCTATAGTACTAATTTCTTAATGTCAAGCCTGTTATGAGGGCAATTACTGCACAAATCGTTATGTCTGTGCAGATGATCTTCTGTAAACAGTAATATAAACTAGACAAAACTCCATCTGCTTTGAAATTAAATGCTAAAGAAATGCTAACGTAGTACAATTAGTAAGTTTTTAAAGGAAGAGCTTGGTAGACAATTTACAGAGTTTTTCCCCCTTACCCCAAGCACAGTCAATCATTCACAACATGTTTGATGTCTGAAGTTTGCTTCTTTAATTTTGCACTGGAGCTAATGTAAGTCTAAGGCTAATGTAACAAACAAGTAATGTTAGCATCGATATCATAACACACTTCGTCGAAACCTCATTGTGTTGATAAATAAAAATCTCATATAGACGTTATGTGGTTTCTGCCAGTGTATGAGAGGCTGTTAAGATGGACAAGTACAATCCATAGCTCACAGCAGTAGTAGGCATAATTTTGTCTGTACTGTAATTTATTTTTATGGATTACACATACAGCGTTAGAACCACAAGCAAGTCTGCGATTACTTGGAGCAACACTATATAAGGTTTTGAAGACCTCTCTGGAGGAAATGTTCTTCTGCACATTGCGTGCAATTACATATTTTGTAACACTGGTGGTGCTTCGGACCCCCTCCCCAAGCGGATGAATGAGTGTGTTGAAAGAGTACATCATATCTTAGGAAGATGTAAGGGAATTATCCACTACTGTCATTATTTCTGAATCAGTATAATGCTGATTTTGCATTTCAGGCCTAAACATTGAGTCAGACTTGCTTTTTGAGCTTGTGTGGATGACGTTAATATGTCAAAATTACCTTTTAAATTAGTATTTTAAGCTTTACAAGATGACAGCAGTGCCAGGACAACATATTTTAGCATTTTTTTTTCTTCTGACTCAGTAATGATACTACTGTCAACTTTAACAAAAACATCTTACACAGAACAGCTTTAACTCAACCTGGTTTGAGATGAAAATATGATGATTAAGGCATGTAGTTTGCACAGTACTACTTGGCAAGATAAATATTTTAATTTCTTGTTAACTACATTAGCATTGTGGCTCCAGTACAAAATTAAAGAAGCAAACTTTGGACCCCAAACATGACTTGGTTATCAACCACACTTGGGGAGAAGGGAAAATTTTGTTTTTTTAATGGTTAAAATGGTTAAAAGCAGGAAACATACATTTAACAAAAAAACTACATGTAGCCTCAATAACTAAATATAATATCATTTTTTCCGTATTTACTGTGTCTACACTTTAGCTTTATTACAGCTTCCATTCTTTTCAAGAGCCTTACATCAGCAGGGATATATTTCTACACATTCATTTATATTTGCCATCCTGGCTATAGTTCTCACTTACCTGCTCCTCACAGGGATGCTTCAGGCGATCCACACTGTTGGCTAGCAGCACACCGTCCTGGCCCCAGAGTGCCATGCTGACATCCATCCCCTCTCCTTCAGACCCCACAAACACTATAAACCTGCAAGATAAACACACACAAAAGGACGAGTCAAAGCTGCTCAAGGCCCCGACAGCACTCCCTGCTGCAGGTCATATATATGAGCCGTGTGATATAGGACCCCGACAGAGCAGCATTTCTCTCTGCTAGAGGAATATGCTGAACATTGCAGAAGAGTGAAGAATGCTCTGCTTAATCAGCCTAATTCTATCAGCTTAACTGTCAATGAAGAACAAAAATGCTGCCTTTCCTGTTACCACTGGTCTCTCCAGATTATTCACCAGACCTGCGCAGGTGCTTTAAGGCAAGTTATCTGTGGCAACAGAAATATCAGAAGATTATTATAAGATAACAGACAGGAAATAGATGGTCTAAAACGATATCACAAAATATTCTAATATCACCGTTAATTTTATTACAATATATCCTGTTGCGCGCATTACACTGAGAAACTACAGTACTGTGCAAGTTAAAGACCACACTTCATTTATTTAATTTGCATTCAGAATGGCCACTGGCATCAGGAAAAGAGCAGGAAATGTACAATTAACAGAAAATTACACAGTAGCCTCAATAACTGAACACTATATACATTTTTCTGTATTTAGTGTGTGTTCTCTTTACTTTTATTACAGTTTCCATTCTTTTCAAGAGCCTTAGTTCAGCAAGGATATTGTTCCACAGCTCCAAACTTCAAGTTTTAAGTACTGTTTTGGTGGCCTACCAGGTCTCGCATGGTTTTTAGGACTCCCATTTCTCTATATCTTCTATTAATTTTTTGATCAGTTTTGGAAAATCTTGTTTTTTCCACATTTTTCCTTTGACTTTCCCCTTCCTCATGCAACTGGATTATCTTTTATGTAATCTCTCCAAGAATATCTTGTTCTTGATGTTCGTTTTGATTGGAAATTAAATAAATACAGAGTGGCCTCTGACTTTTGTGCAGTACTTTTGTGCAGTGTGTATAATACTGTTTACACTGATTAAAAGTGATATAAGAAAAATGGTTTTAACCAGTAACTTTGAACTTAACCTGCCAATAAGTGTTCAAGCAGGTTAGTAACAGACTTACATGAGTTGTGGAACTGGGGGTAATTCAACACTGAAAAACTAACCTACATTTAAGCTACAAGCCTACGTTTACAACAGAATACTCCAGATCGCGTGAATTTGATTTGTGATCATTTTCATTTGAGAAGTCCCAAAAAAAGAAAACATGAAAATTTTAGATAGAGTACTACAAAAATTACCTGAAGTCCACTAATAGAGTTGTCACCTCTCGGCTAGGTCAAGAAAACAGTGAGCCAAGTTGAGAGCATAATGGATTTGGAACATGACCCTGGCTGAGAGACAGCCTCACTACAGTCCAGCTGCAAATGATTCAGGCAGTACACGTGCAGTAGAGGTAATGCCTTCTCCTCTTACCTCTCTGCCACTATCATAACGTCCTGGATGACCCTCAGCTACACGATCCCCTATGCTGATTCGCTAACCTATGGGTGAGAGTCTCCACTCCCTGGTGTTGGGTTATAGGGCTAAAACCTTTAGCCTACACCAGATCACACCAGACCCTGAATAAACCAGCTGCCCAATGAAAGTGGTGGGAGTGGAACCAAAGGGGACGGGGGCAGAAACAGAGAGTACACTCATGTCCACTCAAATGGATATTTATAGAAGTCATGTGGGAGAGAAAAGATTCAGCAAATGCAGGACTACGCAGGATAGCCTGTGCCCAATTTTTTTTTTTTTTTAATTATTTGTATTTACCTACCAGCTCATTAGTCGGTACAGGTTAATATAGCAAATTCAGTTTTGATACAAAGTACCCCAAATTACCTAAAAAAAAATACAAAAATGTATGTATGTGAATGTATGGCAAAATAATAAGGGATATTATATGTGATGTAAAGTACACATTGACATATTTGACAGAAAAGACCCTGTCAACTATCAAATTACCATTTTACATTCCTTTTTATCACTGATACTTTGGCCAATAATTCACAGCACAGGTGCAGCCTGGTCTTCAAGAGAGAGGACACTAACAGAGCCATAGAGCAGGACCTGCTCTAATGCACCATAATGATATGATGAGACCAGTATGTTTAGTATTCTTCAATTACAAAAATACAGATATATAAAGTATATTGATTCAAATGATACAGATTTTGGCAACTACACAGTAGTAGTTGTAAGTATGTATTTGACTTGCATTAGAAATACTGACTACAAGGACTTTCTTTTATTCAGTACCACTGACCATGAAAGGATAACTTTAAAATTGACAAATGTTTAGGAATAACTTGTGTTACCTGTTTTTGTGTTGATCTGTTTTCATTTTATTTAGAAAGAACACAGTGGAAAGATTCCGCATCTGTGACAAGACCTCAGCTTGGTTAGAGTACAAATTTCGGTTCCTACTTTCAGAACACATTCTGCACAAGCATAACATGTGGTGATGTCTTTCAACTTCTCTCTGGGGTTATGCTAGTGTAGCCTCTTCATACCCACACAAAAGAACTGCCAAATCATAAGGAGAGGAACGTCCACAGTAAGAACAGTGACCGGCTGTTTGTTCACAATATGAGCTGCACTAGGTGAGGAAGACACAGATTATGAGCTCTAATCTTCATGACACAGTGAGTCATTCGCTGCTATATAGACTCTAAAACATGAAGGGCTGAACAGTCTGGCATCAGGCCTGAATATGCTAATAAACACACAATTACAATCAATGACAAGATATACTTACAGATATTTCCCATGAGTGAACTCTCAAAAGTGAGGGAGGACTTCAATATGCAATTACTGGAAAAAAAAAGTAATCACATGCATCTGACAGCTCCTGGGTGACTATGATATAATTAAGACCAGACTACTGCATATCCTAATTAAAGTGGAACTAGGTCACAGAAAATGTAATAATCTCTTCCACGATTGAACAACGACTTGGACCAAGATGCAGAGCAAATGCTGAGTGAGGCTGGAGAGAGTTGCACACTCTGTCACATCACAGAGCCTGAACCAAAGTTCAATGAACTCCTGAAGCGCGCCTACATTGTCTGATGTGTTTTCTGCCAATGGCTGACCAGCACACTGATGAGATGAAAAGAGGGGGGGGGCAAAAATGTTTTTGGGATCTGGCTCAGTGTCAGTGGCTGCAGTAAAGAAGACTGAGAGGACAGCCAGCATGATTAATGGCCAGAATGTACTCGGACAGCAACTTTAATCAGGTTGACCAACAGGAACACAGGGCTTGAGCTCTGGTGACATGAAAACATCATTCTGCATCTACCTAGTTAACCTGAGACAGAGCTTCAGTCCTTTGGGAAGCCTAAACATGGCCTCAGCATCATGCATACTTATCCCTCTCCTCCTTAGCAACCCACATAAACTAAGCAACCAACAGCTTTCTACTCAGGAGAGAGTTACACCACTGAAAAACCACAGGACTTTTCCTAGAAGAGTGGGCTTGTACAGGGATGTGTCTTTACAACCACATGCAGTGTAAGCCTTTGTTTGATGGCTGACAAACATAATCTACTGCTCAGGCCAAATCCTCTAGCATAGTGGGCCAGTGGGCTAATCCGTCCAGCAATCTGCTCATGTCAGGACCGTTTGTAGGTTGAATAAAGTCTGATGAAGTCCTGGATTTATAATGAAACCGTTACTACTAGAGATCACACCAATCTGATATCTAGTTTCAATATCAGATGGTACCAGCAGTTTGCTGAATTTAAATCGGTGGACCGAAAAATATCCAATCCATTTCTGTATGAAACCAAGCCTGAAATATCACAGAATTGCTTGCAGCGCAACATAACGTAAAGTGAAATAAAACAGGTTATGTGATAGCAATAGCAACATGTAATGTAAGGTTAACATAAGAACAATAAGTAGTAAGCTAACAAATTATTAAACTAGAATTACAACTTTATTTATTTATTTTATACTTGAAAGCTGTATTTCTTGTACTTGCCTTGTCTACCTACTACAACAATGACAACAATGTGCTTGACAGTATCAAGGCAAGTTAACCCACTAATGCCTGGAGATGAAATTTTAAACTTCCTTTGATTGAGTTGTTAATAAATTCAATCAGAGTGGCTTGGTGAGAAACTTGCCAAGTTATAATTGTTCACATGAGATATGTATGAGGACTTTAATGCCTCTGAAAGCTCCCTCACATAAAGTTATTACATGAAATGGCCATGAATACTCTGCCTGATGTCAGACATGTTGTTTTACGACACTTGTGATAAACCTTTGGCTTGAAATGTATTTTAATCCATTTATTTTAATCCACTCATGGTGAAGGGATACATACAGGGTGTTATAAAGCAAAATTGTCACTAAAGAAATGTATTTTCACATTTCTGACTATTTTACCATCCTTGGCATTACAGATCTAAACTCAGAAGACACGTGTAGGTTCGCTGGTGGTTTTGGATAGTAACGTTAAATAAAATGGATATTTGTGTTGTAGCCATCCGGACCCCTGGTTTCTATCAGCACCACTGTAAACAAATCTGAGTCTGTGTTAAGTTTCTTTACAGTGAACCGTTTCACATCAAACCACTCTGAATGAATCAAGGACTGAAGTATCGAGAAATACTGAAACATTTTTAGTCACTCTGTTTGTGAAAAAACTAGCTAACCTACGTAAAATAGGCTACAGTCAGATGCTCGCTTACAGTAACGTTATCTATACAAGAAATCATCACTTTAGACCAGAACAAGTTCTTTGGCATTTTTTCATAACCAGTCTTAAATCTACTTGTTAGACATGAAGGGGCTAAACACACGACAACCCGCAGTTAACAACTAAAGACTCTCAGCACAATAAATATTGAGGTTATACCTTATGCCTGCTTTTAAAATGCTCAAACAAGTTAGCCTGCTAACAGATAACGGTGATAGAGGTTAGCTTACCGGTAAACCGTTAAAAAGCCTCTTCACTCGGCTTAGCTAGTTTTCATTCTGCACGAAAATATGCTAAAGTTAGTGCTTAAAACAAACGGACATCCGCGTTCACGTTTCTTCTTCTGTACCGCTGTCAGGCAGTCATTTCTCACAGCTAATGTTAGCTGCTTAGCTAACGTTAGCTAGCCAGCTCCGATGAACGACGGTGATGCTGGCATGTTTTGCTACCGGCAAGACGCGACTAGTGGAAGATAAGAACACCGGCAGGCTTACGGAGCCATTTCCAGTAAACTAACGTTAAAGACTTATTTAACGTTAAATCATCCCTCAGTCTGCTCACATACATGAATGAAATCTCTTTCAAATGTTAGTTTATTTAGATGCAGCCTGGATCTTGGTCAGTGTGTCAGCGGATGGATGTTGAGCTCATGCAATAGTGAAAGCACATGGGCGTCCACACTGAGCATAGTGAAGAGGAAAAGCACATCTAGCTAATGCTATCAGAGTAGACTGCCGTATTAAGACATGACTACGAAGGCCGAAACTGACCTAGCCTGTCTTCACCGCGGACCAGAACACCAACTAATGTTAGCTAACCTAGCTCACTACAAGATGTAACTACGTGGCTTGTTGGTTGCTAAAACCACTAGCCTGCCAGCCTGTGTACAGCAAGCTAACCAGAACGAACAATTAATGTATGAAACCAAGTGAAAAACAGTGTTTACCGTGAAAAATGCCTCCTGCGGCTAACATCTCTGTTCAAGTAGCTAGTGCCGTCTTCTGTTGTTCTCGTCCTTGAGCCTGCCACCCTACAGTTCACAGCCCCCTGTGCACTTTTTCCGGCTGTGCGCCCACACAGACAGGATGACCTCGTGTCCGAAGTGTTCAAAGTGACCACTAGAGGTCACCATTTCATGCTGTGTAAGTTAATGTACGCTGGTCCGCGTTCAACTCGTCATGCCGTTTGTTGAAGGCCATTTTATCTTGCTAACAATGGGCTTCATTCATCAATGTCTTCTTATGTTTTTTCTTAAATTTGTCCTTGAGAAAGGTCCTAAGAAAAAGTCATGACGTGTTCTTAAACCGCAGAATTTTTCACACCTTTGTGCTCTTGAGTGTGTTTAGATTCTGTCTCTAAGAACAACTTCCAAATAGGAAAACATTGGTGAATGTCGGAATCTTCGTAAAAATTGTCTAAGAAGAAATTTCTTCTTAAGAACGGTTGGTGAATGAGACACAGTGTCTCCCCTTTCTGCTGTCCTTTTTCCCCTTCAGCTCATTTGGGATTGGGAAACTGACCCGTACAACAGGCTCTCAGGTATGTAGTCTCGATGTCATTCGAGAAACAATTGACATGTTTGAGTTGATGACGCATAACACCACAAATCTTAAGCCTAATTTAAACAATTTATGTTGAACACCTTGTCTAACGTGTTAATAACTGTAATCCCCATTCCAACCACATTCCAACATAGTGCAGGTATTGTTTTAGATGTTGTCATGGAAAAAATATGCAGCTTTGCTCAAAATTAAAACAAAGCTTGAAACACCAGGTTTTTTTTATAAGGCACAATTTCTTTTTTATTAAAGATCAAGGCTTCACAAAATACAAGCGTTAATCTTGAGTTGGCCCAGGCAGCAACTAAAAAAATACAGTAAAAAATCAAACCCTATTCATACTGATCTGGAGTGCCCACCCCCATTACCTCATCTCACCTCATCTATTTTACTGTCACATGCAACTCTGACTACTGAGTTCTATTATAATAGTAACAATTTTGTACCTTTTACATACACTTTGTTTCTTCAGTTACCCTTGGCCTTCTGTGACAAACACCTTTGTATTTCTCCTGAAAGTGCCATGTCATCTTTCATCAGCCATTTCAGTTCTATTCATCCATATATCATTATATAAAATAATAATTACTGGCCTTAGTTCATTACATTTGATTACCATTATCCATAAGTTGAAACACACTTGGCTATGCTCTTGATTACATCATATCACATCAATCAACATATTCCTCTTTTTCATTTTTTATTGATTTAGTACAAAACAAGTTAGAATCTATTGATTGTCTTTTAATTGTGACTAAACAGGTTATTTCTAATTGTGACTGAACTAGGACGTGTTAAAACATATGTTTTGTACATGAAATGGGTAAAAAATACAGTTATGGTCCAAACTATGTTTCTCTGTGTATGTGGTGCACAGGCCAGGATTAAACCTAGGTTTCTGTGTGTGTGTGTGTGTGTGTGTGTGTGTGTGTGTGTGCAGGCCAAGGCTCCTAAACAATGGTCAAGTTGGCCCTATCATAGTTACAATCCAAGTTCAAGATGGTACTGAGCAGTGTTTCTCAGGTCTGGTCACCACATAATCAGGGTCACACAGGTACACACAAAGGGAGAGCTGCCCAGAGTGAGCCATACAGCATAAGGAAGGTAAGTAAATGTGGGATGAAAGTGGAATTCACATCTCATAACGCTTTCCTTCTTTGTGCTTTGTTTCCAATATTGTGCCAAGTTATAATAAAACATCGAGAATAAATTGTATTTCAAAACAGGATGGTCCAATCTCAGGGCAGATGACCTATAAAATAATTATTGTAAACAAGTTATTACAGTATATTATTTATCATAAGTTGTTGCTGTTCCCAAAGAACCTGAAATATTAGATCAAACTTAACATACCTTCTGGTGTCTAGCTTACAGTTTTTTTAAAGATATTATCAAATAAAATAACAGCAATTATTAATGTGACAAGTGATTTCAAACTTTTGAATGGTGTTGTGTTCTCTGCCCACATGCAGCAGGAGGTTGTGGGTACTGTAGTAATTTGAGAACCTTTGGGGTGTGAAACTGACAGTATAGTGTAGTACATACTACTGCAACATACAACTGCATCAGAGTAAAATAATCTAATCCACTGTAATTTCATGCAGATGAAATCTGATCTTAAAGACACTGTCATAATCTTAAAAAGATTTTATTAAGCAGTACTCTTTCTGTCAGCAATGATGACCCATTCATCTATCTTGAGAATTTGCCCAGAGCCAAAGTGCTGCAGCTTCATAAGTTCACTGAAATAAATTTATAGTATTTTTTTTAAACACTACATTTTGGCAGATCCTTAGGATACTTAGTTAGAATAACATCAAAAAAATCTGTGATTTTTTTTGGGCATTATGCACAGATAGCCTAATGACAGTAATTCAGTCAGATCCAAATTAATTACACACCCACAAAACATTGCGGTATTACGTAACATGTTGAAAGCTCATGGCAGTCTGAAGATCTGGAAGGCTCTCAATCTTAGTCTTGATGCATGCTGTAATGTTAGCTCTCCCTGAGCTCAAGGGCTTAGAGTTGATTTGTATCTACCATAGTTTTCTCCCAGGCAGTGAACTCTAATGCATCCCAGTGGTTCTCTCTATTCTCATGCTAATGCCTTTCTGAGTACCTGTAAGAGCACTCTTCGCTATACTTAATTGTATCGTGGAGGATATCTGCGCCCAAGTTATCTTTACAAAGCTATCATTTTACATCAGCAGTGCGGGTCATCATTAGCCAGGGTTAAGGGTTGCACATGTTGATCCAGCAGAAACCTATGGAGCGGTAAATAAACTAAGAAATATTTTCAAGATTCACAGGTTCAATTGTGTGCAAAAGTCAGAGCCAAATTACATATTTTGTAGATTTCTTTTAAATGAAAAAAAGCAAGAACAATTTCTGCTGCAACATATTTTTTGTAAATGTTACTCTGTTTATATTTGATTATATTTGAACTCAAAAAATGAAACAAATAGTAATTGTGGCATGTGTAAAAGTTTGGACACCCTTCCAGTTGTAAATTATCAGAACTTAATTAACTGATTAGATTTGTTGGACTCTTTTGGGCCGGTTAGGCAGGTGAAAAATTGTCATTAGGAATTATCAACTGATGACAATTCCAGACCGTAATAAATTCTTTGACTCTTCAAACTTTGTGCTAACACTCAACAACCATGGGCCTCTCTCAGCAGCTTCCGAGGACCTGAAAATGAAGCTAACTGATGTCTACAAAGCACAGCAAGGCTATAAAAAGATACCAAAGTGCTTCCAGCTCACAATTTCCACTGTCTGAAATGCCATTAAGGAATAGCAGTTAAGAGACACTTTGGAATTCAAGACAAAAACTGGTAGATCAAGAGAACTCTCAGATAGAACTGTTAATAAGCTGGCCAGAAATGAAACGCAAAACCCCACAACAGCAAAGGACCTGCAGGAAGGTTAACCTGACACAGGACTGGTGCATTGTTCTACTGTGCAGCATTGCTTACACAAACATGATCTGGAAGAGTAATCAGAAGAACACTTCACCTGCAACCACATCACAACATCTGTAGTATGCAAAACAACACCTAGATGCTTTTTGGAAAATAGTGCTGTGGATTGATGATGTAAAGATGGACCTCTGTGGCCACAATCACCACATGTATGTTTGGAGAAAAAAGAAGCAGCATTTGATGAAAAGAACACTGTCTGTTAAGCAGGGGCGTGGTTCTATTATGCTTTGGGGTTCTATGCAAGCCAGTGGCACAGATACCATTGCACAGATAGATAGAAGAATGGATTCCACTATCAGTCAGCAAATTCTGGAAGCAAATATGACACAGTCAAGAAACTACAGCTAAAAAAAGACTGGATTTACAAAAATGGGGGGGTGATTATTAAGTACTGACTTAGTAGGGTGTTCAGACTTTTGACATTCTAGTTGCTCTACCTGTACAATATTTAAATGGCCTACATTTCTTACATTTTGCCTTTATTGTTTTTTCTTAGATCCACTCATGATACCTGTGTGGTTTTGGAATTAAACAGGCTTTTTATTGCTGTCCCTTTAAGACTGACATATGTAATCTCTAATCTGATTGGCTCTGTGTTGTGTCTCATTCAACAATACAGTCAGGACTAAAATGCTCCTTATAACTCCATTGTGAATGGGCAGAGCTAAACTGCTACTGAGTAGGTAGACATATGTAAATATGTTGATTTTTGTGACATTACAAAAATAATGAATTCAAAACGGGATGCTTTTGCCCTTTGTTTCTATATATGGACTGGAGAGTGAATGGTGTATTTTGAAACTCTCTTTATCAAATTCTCTTACTTTTAAAAGTGTCCGGTTACAGTTCAGGTTTCAAAAACTTTCTTTTTTACACTTCCTAAGGGTGTTTGTGTACATGCAAGTGCATTAGTAATGTCACCAGAGTTTTCTGAAGATTGATTGCTTCAAGTAGAATGTAGTTCATGTGAGTACTTTTACGTATACTTTTATCCTAAATGTAATTTAGATTAAATTACAAATGTAATTTTATCTGGAGCTGCCTTAAACCAATGAGATCATAGTTATCCATGTGACTAAACAGCTGATAGATCTACTGTATTCATTAAGCCTGCACATAGTGAAAAGGGTAAGTGAGGATACTATTCTGTCCACAAATGCACCAGAGACTAACAGGCTGTAGATAAATGGTGCTTCTCTCACAGTGCCTGCACTCTTCAGAGGCTGAAACACAATCTCTGTGAATGGCACATCTCTATCATGTCAGGCTCTTGTCTTGTCTACTCATTGACTCCAGTCTTCTTGTCTTATCAGCACCTATATCTAAATGTGCCATCCATACATTCGTAAGGCTTAAACTTCTTTGTTTTTGAAATCTAACTGATCTGGGCCTAGTTTCCCTAAAAGTGACATAGCATGAGGATCATTGTTGAACAGTGGAGGCAGCACCACTTCAAAATAACAGTTAAGTCAACCTTAAAGGGGAATTCCACAGATTTCTGCATTTTTAATTTAGAGATGTAAACAAAGTCATTCAGAGTGGTTTGTTGTGAAAAGGTTCATTGTAGAGAAACACAGTGACTCTGGTTTCTTTTCAGTGGTAGTGATAGGATGTAGTGATGGTGATGTCTACAACATAAATATAGCCATTTTATTTACTGTCCAAAATGACCAGAGGGTTTTCATATGTAATGCTGATAATGGTAAAACAGACGTAAATCTATTTTTCCTTACAACACGCTGCATATACGTTTCCGTTCTGCATGTGTTTCAAAAATATGTTTATGCCTACAGCTTATCTCAACTTTTTAGGCAACATATTCACAGCCATTTAATGTAATAACTTCCTGTAAGGTACCTTTCATAGGCATTAAACACTTGTTCCTATCACCAGCACTGCAAATAATTCTGACAGGGTAGATTTCTCTAGAACAGAGAATCAGTCAATAGTTAACAGTCTTGACAGTTGAGTTCTACAAAAATTTGTGGAATTTGCTGTTAAAACTAAGATACTATTGGGAAACAAAGTTTTAGAGCTCATATCTAAGAATAATAATCTCTTGTAGGGAGAAAGAAACCACACTTGTTTAGTTGATATACTGTGCAAGTCAGAGACTAGCCTTAATTCAGTTTATTACAAGTAATTTTTTTTCAAGACATATTTCTGACTGTCCCCATCAGAAAAACAACACTTAAAGCTTTCATCTTTGAAAAAGAAAATCAAGCTCCACTGTTGCCTCAGATCTGAAAAAATCCACCACTGTTTCTGTCTAACCATCCACTGTGAGAAGACAACTCAACACTATGTATCTGAAAGGATGTGTAGCTGTCAAGAAGCCATTACTGAGAAAAAAACAGAAAAAAGAAAATTTGCCCAGACCTCAGCATCATTAAATGTGTCCTGATTATGACAAGGAGAAAATGTAATCAACTTCTAACACTGGAAGTATAGAAAAATATCTCTGCAGATTTCTAAAATCTGATTTTATATTTAGTTGCTGAGGCTTCTGAGTACTACCCTTAAAACCCTTACCCTACTGTTAAATATATGTTTTCTGCTTTTTTCCCTGACACTTCCCTTTCTTTCCTGTACTTAATGGCCATTTTGACTTGAAATTAAATAAATTAAGGGTGGTCTTTGACATTTGCTCAGTATTGTAGAGAAGTACTTTTATCTCTCCATGTCCGCCATTGAAGGACAAAGATAGTATTGTCATCGTAGGTCTATTTAGCTCAATGTTACTTAGTCCAGCTCATCTCTTGGAGATAAAAACCCATGAGATTTCTGATAGAGCCCTTGTAATGCCTTCAGTAATTACCCACATCCTTCTTTTCTCCAAAGCTGAATAAGAGTGACCTTGATGACACTGCAGCCCTTAAATTCCATGGTACAACACCAGAGCGGGTGGGATGCATTAGATAACTGCTAAGAGTGCTAGCGCACCTGTTCCTCAACCTGACTGAAGGCCATTATGTAGCAAAGCAGTGAACAGTAGTGTGAACAATACCCACCCTCACTCTCCCTTACCTTTGAAACACAAGTTCATTGCTTAGGCCTTATAGGAATGAAACAAGCAACGACTTCTGCAAATGATGTTCAGTGAATAACTTAGATTTGAACAGCTGTGCTGAGGTGGTACTGTTTTTCCATGAAAAAAGGGAGTATGGAGGATATGCTGCTGTTTAAATGCTGAGAAAATGGCCTTCCCTTGAGACACTGTTAATTTAAAAGTCAATGTCTGGCAAGCACAGAAAGCTTTTGTGCTGTGCTTCACAATGCTATCACCAAATGGCCTCGTCGAACTGGCAAACAGGGGAGTTGGGGGGGTTAGGGCCTGCCTGAAGAAATATAAAACGGCCCCTCTGCCGAAATAGATGAACTCCACCTGAAACCTGTGCTCAGTCACCAGTAACCGGCCACTGCACTGAGACGATGACCATCTGGTAAATAACCAAGCAAAACTCCAGCACTGGTACTGTACTCTTCATTTTTTTCCTTTATTATTTTATGTAGTATGCTGTAACACTTGTAACCATAGCTTATGTGTTTTTGTGAATGGTAATGCTAGTGAAAACGATAAACAACAAGTTTGTGAACTTCAGTATGCTATCTTACACAGAAATCTTTCATTTCAAAAAGTGACCTGTTCAAATATTCAAATTTCTCATTTCTAATCAAAACAGTGTTTCCCCTGCAGTGTAGGAAATGGCTGCTGTTGCTGCTTTCTTCTTTCTTCTCCCAGTCTCATGGGCCTGTGCTCCTCAAAAAGCTGGTAGTTATTAGACCATCAACACCTTTTTCCTTTAAACCAGTTGTAAGATTACGCTACCATTAATCTTCATGAAATTTTGGACATGCTATATTTTTTTTCAGATTATGTTATGGTTTCCTGTTTTCCAAACGCCATCATTGCAAATGTGCCCGAGTGCCCATACGGGTGGGAGATAGGGCAGTTGTCTCTGGGTGGTGTGTGCTATACGGGGATTAACACTCCTGGCTTCTACCGCTTTACAATCCCCGACCTCACGCCCAAGAACCACTCATACTGTGGGACAATGTCTGAGGTAAGAATTTTCAGTAGTTATTCAATAGCTCTCATCTAAAAGGCTATCTTCTGAGGTACTAAACACATACAGTTAAAGTCTCAGCTCTCTTGGTGCATGATGTAAATGAACACAAATCAGTTGTCCATTGTCACTTTTCTCTGACTAGTATGTTGGAGGCAAAGATCCAAAATACATCTTCTACAACTCTATAGTCTCCAACGACTCCTCGCTCACAGTGCGCAACCAGCCAGTAAACTACACCTTCAGCTGCACATACAAGGCGGCTTACTTGGTCAACAATGCAGTCTTCAGCCAAAGGTAGACCCTGTTACTTTGACTACACAATTCAGTAGCAGTAGATATTAGAATGCATTCTGACCAATGACTTGCAGCCTTTTTACTAAACCCTCTGTTTCTTCCAGAGTGGCAACAGTTTATGTCAACAACGGGAGTTTAGGTTCTTTTAAGTCTCAGTTGTCTATGAACGTGTTCACAGTGAGTACTGCGACTTTTCTTGATAAATGTTGGTATTTCAAAAGTGTCCAAAGAAGAGATCAATGGTGAAGAGCGTACAGAGACAAAAGTGCTATGGTAAAATTCTGTATTGTGGCATTCAGTGTTGCACCACCATTATTACTAGGGCCCATACTTTTACATTTTTCTACTAATGAGATTTTTGTGGTTTTATATACCAAAACAGTCATAATAAATTTTTACATGACCGTTTCCAACCTTTCTTAATCTTTTATAATTATACTGGCTGTTTTTGTTACTATGCCTTTAAGACCTTTATCCTGTATTGTACCGCATTCAAATATACAGGATGGCCAAACTGCTTGTATCCCATTCAAATAGCAGTTTGGATGAAACACTCTTTGTAACTTCAAGGTGAATGGGTGGAGCTAACCCAATGTATGCTGTATATGTAAATATGTTGTTTTTTTTGGTGACATCACAAAAACAGTGGATTCAAAATGAGTTGTTTTGCAGCTTAGTTTCCATATATGGACTGTATGGGCTGTATATGTTTTGAATATCCAACAGTGGTTACATACTACATCAAGTTGTTTCATTAAAAAGGTTTTTTAATGATACAGGCCCTTTAATACTTTACTGTGGGGCAAAGTTAACAGGTTAACTAATATTGTATATGAAAGGCTGCTTCAAAGAGTGAGATAAAACATGAAATCCTGCTTGTGGACTTGTTTTTCATGTAAATTTCTATTCCTCTGTATGATTAATAGAACTCAAAGTTCCTATATGCTAAAGATGCTCCATATGTGATTGATACATCAGAAATTGGCTCGGAGGTTTTTATTGGCATTGAGGCAAAAGGATTGAGTAACAGGTATGTCATCATCCCATTATCAGTTGCATATAGCACATGAAACTTTTTTTTATTTACTACACAGAACAAACAGAACCAAAGTCTCCATGTCTTTCCATAGGTTTAAGGTGGTCATAACAAATTGCTGGGCAACACCTACTCCATATTCAACAGACAAGAAGAGATGGAGTTTAATTGTCAATAGGTAAGGTGATTTTAATCCACACACTGCTCTGCAGTTCTGATGTAAAAAGTGAATTTGTCAGTACTGAATGCTGTATATTTTGTCTTCTTTGATCACAGCTGCTCATCAGACAATACAGTGACCATATTTGAGAATGCCAAAGACAGTCGCTCCATGTTCAAGTTCAATTCGTTTCGCTTCCAACGACTAGAGAAGGTGTCCACAGTCTGGCTTCACTGCGAGGTTCAAGTGTGTGATGGTGAAAAGCTCTTCTGTCAGCCGGTAAGCATGAGAGTGCTCTTGTAATGATTTTACAACTACAGAAGCACTGTTTTCCAGCAGTAAGGCCTTTAAGACTCCATTATTTAATTCCCCTAAAGACTCCCTGTACTTTGAGGAGTGCCAAATTGGAACCAGATCCAAGTGGAGGCATTTTGACGACGGAGTTTCAAATCAAAGGTAGCGATTGTTTCTGATATTGCGTATCTGCATTTTTATTGCTGTGTGTTGACTGACCGTTCTTAAATCTGGTTGTGTGCAGCTCAACACTCTTCAAGTTATACACCTCTTGCAGGTAAATCTTTGTTACTTGAAGCAATGTAGCTACTGGTTATTAGAGTTCTATTCTATACCTGTGGTGCACTCATGGTAATACTTTATCCTGCTACTTAACATTAACATAACCATGCCATAAACATGTCAGGGCAGATGTCATATGCTGTCATGAGTCATCATGACAGATTTTTTTCAGTTAGATAACCGTGTCATGTTACTGTTACTGTTAATTGTTATGACAGATGTTATAATGTTCGATGTCATAACAGCTATCTAGGGTACATAGCAAAAATTGCATGTTACATAAGCTGTCATGACATCAAACATCATAACATATGTTATGACAATTACTGGTAATGTAACATGATGCTGTTTTATTACTGGACATAACCTGTCAGGACAACTGATGACAGTTGATGTTAATTGTATGCTTATATTAATGTTAAGTAGCACATTTGTTATAAATTCAGCCAAACATAATAAATATAAAATTGTTACATTTTTACACATATATTATTGCTGTCATATCTAAATATCTTTTTGTTTTAAACACCCCTTGAAAACACCAGCTGCTTACTGCATTATGTGAACATCTCATCATGAATGCACTAATAGAAATGCTCCATATTTATTCTGAATATATATATATATATGTATGTATGTACACACACACACTGCTTTTCGCATTTCAGTGATGTCTTCATCTGTTAAACAAATGTTTCATGTGTGCTCTTGGAGACTGAATTTGACCAGTGTTTTTTGTTTTTCTCATTTCACAGGCACATTTTTATGCATGGTGTGTATTTTTTTGCTAAATGCAGTTTTAGGTTATGCCAGTTTGTAAAAGATGGTTAGTGTGGGTGGGTATAAAAAAAAATAAAAAAATTAAAAACCCCACAAAAAGCTCAAAACACACTCACACACACATACACACACACACACACACACACACACACACACACACACACACACACACACACACACACACACACACAGAACAGCCATACAAGGGTCTCAGGGAGTGTAACACACATTCCTCCTAGACATGTGCTTACATCTTGAAATATTTCTCTTTTATTTAGCACCCTTGTACACTTGTACCAGAGCAGTGAAACTAGTTACACAGATAAAGGCAGTAGCATCGGAGGCATGGACTGTAAGAAAAATACATCCTGCTTTGTTTTTGTTGGAAATAATGTGTAAAGATATTTGTGACTTCAGTAAAAATTACATACAACTGTTTTGTGTTTTGTTACTGTCTGTTTGTTTATCAAAATTTGTTGTAACTCAAGCATAAAAAAATCGAGGTAGCTCCTCAGTTTGGTCTCTAGATGTCAGGAACAGTCAGCGTGTGAATGCCAGGCATTTTACCCACAGTGTGAGTTCTCTGTGTTCTTCCTCTCTCTTTACACTCTGGATCAGTTGTAGTTTGATTTGGTTTATTTGTCTCCTGCTGAAACATTATTAAATAAGAACATAGAAATGTCAGTAAAACCTTAGAAATATGGTTTCCCCATCAAATATTTTTTGCATGAAGTTGCATGCTGTTATTCTTAAACACTTGGTGAGAATAACTTGTTAAAAGTTCACATTATTAACAAAACTGATTGTAATTGATATTTTGACAAAATACTTATTATTACTGCGAATACTATTTTTAATTATGCTGGTATATTTACACTAAATGTATCTACTGGTGTGTTTTTACTGGTTAGCAGTGCATTAATAGCATAGAAAATTAGCAAACGGGAGTACAATTGGTAGCAGCAATTTATAACATTACATGCCCCAAAAAGTAAAACAAAAAGTTTAATCTTCATGAAAGGCATCAGATTTCATGCTGAAAAAGTTAGTAGGAAGTCAGTGCTGTTAATCAAATGAACAGGTCAGTCTGGACCTGAGCGCAACACAAAGGTTCATGGTTCAAGGTCACACGTACAGTTTTTTGCAGAGTTTGCAAACTTCTCGCCCTAAACTAAAGTCATGTCCTGAATTAGCAGAGCTGAATGTGAATCCACCGATCCTGCTTCAAAAACTTGCTTCTCCTTTGTTGGTACAGTACAATGAGCATGTCAGCGTGTATCAGAACTCTCCAAAGGAGATGAGCACATCCTTACCTCTGCTGCTGGTTCTGGACATGCTTCTGCATCATAGTGCTGCGGCGTAAGAGGAAACTTCAGACCTACTTTACTGTTCAACCAGAACGTCTTCTGAAGCCCTTTTCCCTTGTGAGAACATTTACAAAGAGCAAAATTCAGAGACGCATCAAAAAAATACAATTCAAATACCTCAGAAAAAAGAACAGCAATAATGAAGTATATACCTTCAACTCAATCTCTCCCCTCTCCTCAAGTTCAAAAGAGCCAATCTTCAAGAGGATATCAGCGGTGCTCTGAGAGATATGAATCCTCAGTGCTGCAAGCAAATCAGAATTCATCATTAAACAAAGCGCACTCATATATACTTGATTTAAACATGTCCACAGTGAGTTTTAGCACTGTCTACAAACCAAGCTGTAATAAAGGTTTGACTGAAGTGCTTACGCAAACTGCTGCTTTCCATCCTGGAAGCAGTATTCACTGTGTCTCCAAACAAGCAGTAGCGGGGCATTGTAGTGCCCACCACCCCGGCAACCACTGGACCTGTTGGTGGGGGTGGACAATGTCAGCTGCATGTCCGAGAAAACAAATAATGACTGTAAAGAATTACTTTAAAATGATGGTTAGGCCAAAAATAAAATGTACTTCAGTTTCCCCCTTCTGGAGCAAGTGTACAATGACTTAGGCCTGCAGTTTGCACAGTGCTAAACTGGTGGCTTTCAGGCTCCGGTCCTTCACTGCAAAAAATGGTATCTTGGCAAGTAAAATCTAGGCAATAAATCTAATATTTCTCATGTTAAGATTGTTGTAAGCTTATTATGCTGTAATTTAACTTTAACTATTTTACTTAAGTAGAGGAGAAGTATACATGTATACAAGTATACAACACTCTGCAAAGAAGCGTAACTTCAGACACCAAACATGTCTTGGATGATTTACTACATTTAGTGTTAGAGGAAATTTGTGTAAACTTGAGTTTTGGCTGAACCATCACTTTAAGAAGCGTGTTTATAGCTTATATACTCGTTTATAGCTTATATACTTATGTAATACCAGAGTTGATCCCAATCCGCAGAGCCAGCTTCTCATTGGGCAGGTGTCTGATTTTGAATCTTTTAATGGCACTGAGGAAATGGAGGGCCATAATGGAGATGTCCTCTGCATGTCGGGTGCCATTGGCTAAGGGCAGTCCACTTGCAACCATATATGCATCTCCTATAGTTTCCACCTTACACAATAGACAATTCCCATATTATCACTGTGGTGTGACCATTATAAAGTAAGCATGCAGTATACTATGCCATGCTGCTTTGCTTTTATAACTGAGCACACATTCTGTACCAAAACTCAGTGTAATAACATGGCTAAAATGGCCCAAGGGCCTTATAAATCATCTCATATGTTCCTGTGTACAGCCAACCTTATAAACATCATAGAGTTTGATGATTTCGTCAAACAGGCTGTAGAGGTCATTGAGGACTGTCACCACCTCCAGGGCTGAGCTGATTGCACACATGGTGGTGAAGCCCACAATGTCAGAGAAAAAGATGGTCACTATGTCGTAACTCCTGGGCTCCACTGACTTCCCTGCCATTAGCTGCTCAGCTATGTATCTGTTTGGAATAATAAATTTAGATACAATTGTAGCAATTATGCAAAAAACAGACTTTATATGTATATCTTATTGCTATTTTGTTCATATCTGTATTACCTGGGCAGCATACTAGAGAGAAGTTTATCTGCTCTGGCCTTTTCTACAGTGAGCTGAGTGGTCCGCTCCTCTACCACTTCCTCTAGGTGATTGGCATATTTCTCGAGCTTGTTCACCATGTTGTCCAAGATGTTAGCATGGCTAAAAATTGATATATATATATATATATATTTTTTTTTAAAAAGCATCCACTAATATAGAAAATTAATTATTGAACAGTTTTATAATTACTTAAAGGGGAATTCCTTTTTCAAAATTGCTAAAAATTTAAGATGTAAACAAAGTAATTCAGAGTGGTTTGATGTGGAGTGCTCTCTTCTAGAGAGTCAGAATTGTACACAGTGATGCTGATAGGAACCAAACAGCTGAGATGTTTAATGTCTCTAAAAGCTCCCTTACACAAATTTATTACACAGTATGGTTATGAATACACTGTCTGATGCCTGAGACATTGTTTTATGCTGGTTTTGAGATAAGCTTCTAGTCTGAAACATGTATTTTTAAATTCCATTCATTGAGAGGTACATGCAGGTCATTCTAAGGTAAAATGGTCACCAATGAAAACAGATTTTTACTTTTTTACCATGATTTTGCCATTTTCAATATTGCATGTATGAATGTAAGTTGACTGTTTGTTTTTTGTATAGTAAATAAAATGTTAATATTTGTGTTGTAGACATTGTGACCTCAGGTTCCTATCCCCACCACTGTAAAGAAATCGGAGTCAGTAATAACGCTGCGAATGACTCTGATTGATTACATCTCAGGGACTGAATTATGCAGAAAAATCAGTGGAATTCCCCTTTAATGGCTGCTAGTAATCTAGTAGTAATTATTTGTCATATCAAAACCTCATTGTTTCTTTCTTCAAACAATAACACTAGCTGCGCTTCACATTGTGTGAACCTTCCATGACAAATGGACCAATAGAAACAGTCCTAAATTGCTTATAATAAAATTGTTACATAAAGTTACGTCATACTTTTCCTTCCCCTATATCGTTTCTGTTTCAGAGATGTAATGTTTTGTTATGACAGCTGAGACTGTTTTGTGCATTGAAGAAGAATGAATGAGTGATGTATGTCACATTTGTGACTCTGAGGCGGTACCTGTCAGGGCTGATGTCTCGTAGGCCTCTCCTGATGGAGCTGAAAGGGGGTCTTTGGTCTGGGTTTTCACTCCAGCAGGCAGTCAGCAGGGTAACTAGAGCTTCATCACACATCTGAGCTGACAGAGTTGGTCTGAGGGGCTCACCTGCTACAGGGGTCCTCAGCTGCTTGATGATTTCTGAATACCATAAATATAACAGACAGCAATTCAGTATTCAGTATCAGTATCAGTCTAGAGCTTTTATTGTTGGTTTGCTATACATTCTATTTACATTACACATGGTTTTATTTCTTAAATTTCATTATTTCATTTCATGGTAGTTACTTAAATACACATTTAATTACATAGTAAGTTACATAATTAATTACATGCACATTTTGATGGACTTTTGTTGTTCATTTTCATGACAAAAATATGACAGAATGTAAAGGTGGGAGCCTTTTGTTTCGATGTGAAATATCTGACACTTTATTTTAGAAATGGAGATTGATTCATATAAAATTGCTACATGATTTTGCTATTGCTATTGACAACTGAGACTCCTGAAGGTTCTGTTTCTTAGGTGAAATTGCACTTATTAACAGAAGCAGTAATACCACTTATTATATGCATCCAGAAATAAGCCCTTACCTTTTGGTTCCAGCTGTATGTCATGATAAGGGCCCACCTCTGTACTGTAAATCAGCTCTCGCATAATTATAGCAAAGCTGAACACGTCTCCTTTTTGAGTGCCATTGAATGGAAGGCAAACTTCCCTCAGAAGCTCTGGAGCAATCCAGTACATCTCTGCAATTGAGAGAAACTTTAAAGACTTAACCTTTATAGACTTTGAACATTCACTGGATGGATGTTCCATTAGGCCTTCTTACTTTTACCATCAAATAATGACAGCATGAACTAAAACATTCACGATGAAAAGTTATTAGAAAGTATGAACCTTCATATTTGGGGTTCTCAAGAGGGATTAGTCTGTGCTGGGTCCCATGTTTGAACTCCCAGAGGCCGAAGCCTGAGAGTTTGATCTGCAGCCGACTGTCCACGAGACACGTGGTTGGCTTCAGATTGCCATGAGATTTCAGACTGCTCCTGTGTATGTACTCCATACCCTTCACAAAGAACACAGCAAAGTAGAATTCAGGTAGGTGTGGTCCATCTACCAAGAAGAACCACTTTGGGTCTTAAAATAAAGAACCTCTTTCCTATACTGCAAAAAATGGTATCTTGTCAAGTGTTATTATCTTAAAGCTAGTTGATATAGCTAATATTTCTCATTTTGAGATTGTTGTAAGCTTATTATAAGTTTATTTAACTTATTTCTAGACATTTTCACTTGTTTTAAGTCAATTTACTATGTGAAATTGTCTCACTGTATTGGCAGATGGTCTTGCTTATAATGCTCTGCCAATATAGTAAGATCCTTTCGCTTACTAAAATCACTTAAAACAAGGGAAAAATGTCTAGAAATTTTTTAAAGTTTAAATAAGTCTACAACAATCTCAAAATGAGATAACACTTGACAAGACACCTTTTTGCAGTGTAGAACCACACATTCAGGCCAAAATCTGTTAAGGGATCTTTATCTTTTAGAGTGCACTGAAAGTCAGAGGTTTTACTCACACTGACAATGTCGTAGGCAAATGACAGTTTAAACATCCAGTCCAGCTCAATTTCACTGTTCCTGAGAACGTCCTGGCATCGACAAAGCAAAAAACTTCATTCATTAGGAGGTATTGGGTTACATTAAGTGCAGGATAGAGGCCAGGTGATGTGAACTGTTTACCTTTAAGCTACCTTTCTTGCAGTACTGTATGACAATGCAGATGTTGGGGGGTTCATTACACACCCCGAAAAACTGCACCAAGTTCTCATGTTTCAGCTCCTTCATCTGTAAGCACATTAGAGACACAAAGCTATTAACAATATGGTGGGGGCTTTTTATAAAAACAAGCCATTTAAAATGAGATACCACCAGTATCTATACAAATCTTAAAGGGTAATTCTCTTTTTTTTATTTCAAAATTTCTGTATAATTCAATTGTTAAGATGTAAACAGTCACTGGGTCTCTCCTCTGGGGAGACACTACATGGACTCTCCCATCTGGGATTGGCCCACTCCAGGTCCAGCTCCTTTATATCTCCGCCCTTTCACACCTGCAGCTAGTTTTTTGGATAAGTGCACATCTTTCACTTTGGGATGCCAGGTAGTGAAATCTTATGTATTTTGCAGTTCTAAACTATAAAACTATTTCCATTGCCTAGCTGTGGTTTATTTAGCTTCAAGCTCTCTATCTTATCATTTCTGATCATTTCTTCTGTTTTTTGGTTCGACTCTGCTTCAACCCAAGTGCTTGTTCAATGACTGTTGTTTTGAACTGTGACAGTGACTCTTGGAAGTGACCAATAAACAAGACTCTGTACGTTCAAAAACAACAAAACAAAAAAGTGCAGAACCGCAAACCATGCACAAAAGACTTCACAACCTGGCATCCTAAAGTGAGAGATATAAATGTGCATTAATGAGTCTGTAAAGTAGCTGCAAGTGTGATTGATAATAAAAGAGCAGAGACAGGGAGCAGCTGGAACTGGAGTGGACCAATCCCAGATGGAAGAGTCCATGTGTTGTCTCCCTAGAGGGGGACACTGTGACATAAACAAAGTCATTCAGAGTGGTTTGATGTAAAATGTTCCTTTCCAGAGAAACTTACACATCCAGAATTGTTCACAATGGTGGTGATAAGAACCAGACATCCAAAGTGTTTAACACATCTGAAAACTACCTCACAGACAGAAGTTACATTAAATATTTACAAATATTCTGCTTGGGACATTGTTTTATGATAGGTTTCCGAAAAGCTTTTGGCCTATAACAATTCTAATATACAGGCTGGGAGGAGAGGTACATACAAGCTGTTGAAAAGCAAAGAAAAAACTTTGCTTTGTTGATTTGTTTGTTTTCGGATGCACTATTTTACCATTATCAACATTACATATTAAAACCCAGGAGACACTTGTAGGTGCACTGGTTGTTTTAGACAGTAAATAAAATGCCTAAATTTGAGCTGTGGACATCATGACCCTTGGCTCCCATCACCATCGTTGTAAAGAAAATCAGCAAGTTCCTCTACAGTGCACCATTTTACATCAAAACACTCTGTACTTTGTTTTTTAAATTAAAAAAAAAAAATTCCCTTTTAAGTTGTTGTTACCATATTTAACTCAGAAATGAGCGATGACTTCTTGAGGTCACGTGGAAGCTGATTCTTCAGGTATTTGATACCTACATGATTTCCCTTACATATAAACAATTTGAAGAGGTTAGTTTAGGATTAATGCACTTGCCAACTATTTCAGTGTTAAAATGTCATGTTGTGACATCATTAACCTGTGAAGTAGGCTCTTTGACCATTTGTACCTGGAGCAGACCGATTGTGGTGTAGATGGCCTCTTTGCCGTTTGTGTCCTTTAAACCATAGCTGTTGGTGGAGAGGATGGTCTGAGAGCCACCGCTTCCACTTTTACTGGGAGTTGTACTTATTGACAACGGCTGCCCTCCCTTTAAAACAAACAACAGTTACATGGAAATAATGTCTATATCAAATTGATCTGCATGTTTCAATAGGGGCGCATCATATATATATATATATATATATATATATATATGATTTGTAACTGATTCTGATGTCTTTACAGCCAAATTGACCAGTAACTAAGAATAGATTTTTATTAGTCCATGTTTTCTTTCAAGCAACAGGAAAAAAAATGTTACTGATGTTAAATACACAGGCTGGTGGGTTGGCTAGACTTAATGCATGTAAGGATGTGCACAGAAAACATGGGATACTCTTCTAACACGGTTCTTAAAGCCTATAAGACTATTTCAGATAAGTTCTTCCACATTTACTTTTATTATCTGAAGTAGCAATAGGCAACAGCTGTCATTTTTGGTGAACTATAGCTACACTATTCAAATGCAGTGCACAGCTGGCTGAAATTTTTAAGTAATACTGGCTTTGATTAAAGTAAATTATCTGATTGCCACGCATTTGTTAGGACCGAATACAGTTATATGCCGTTGATGTTCTGAATGAAAATAAGTTAACATAAGCTTTACAGAAAGCAAACTAAAATATGGCATTTTTTTCAGTGCACAATTTCTATTTATTTGCTTAGATTATTAGTTTAACATATTGGAAAGAAGGAAAACTTGTACATGTAAATGTACCAAAACTTTTGAACAGTTCATCAGTTGCCCCCCCCCCCCATTTTTTTGTTCAATTCAGCAAATAAACAGTAAATATACATTAAAATGTGCAGAAGTGTGTTCACTGTGGAGACTTATTTTCACTTAGAAAATCAACAAATACAATTTGACCAGATGCACCCAAACTTCTGGTTTAGATCATGCAACCTCAGTTTTAATATGTGTGTGGTCTGTTTATCCTGCCTTAGGCTCTTTGAGGATAGTGATATCACTGTAGTTGATGAGCCACCAGTTGTTGTCCTCTAGTCTGTTCTGCAGACGGATCTTCTGCACAGTCAGCAGAGTGATGAAGATCAGTGCTGCCACTCCAATCAGTGGCACCGCCACCAGCAGAACAACCATGTATATCTCTGAGTCAACAGGGACGAAACACAGTGAAATCATATAGAGTTGCAGCATTCGTACTGCATTACTAGTGTCAAATGTAGAACACAATTAAAATTCATTTTAAATAACCCAGCCATCTTATTTCAAATGAAGTTTACCATTGTTTAGCCATTCACAAAGTTCATTGTCAAAGCCACACTCTGGGTTATCTGTTGGAAGTTTCCCTGTTGGCCAGACCACATTGGAAAACCTCTGTGTTGTTCTGCCAAAAAACACACACAAAATAAATGCTTTTACATTTGATGTTGAGGACTGAATATCAACCACAATGGACAGAAAGTGTTTGACTTACTTGACCGTTTTTGTATGACTGTCGAAATTAAGAACAGGCACAAACTTCACCACATTGTCACTTTTTTGCAAGTCATATACAGAATAATCCATATTCCTGTCGCCATATTCATCAAAGTGAACTAGACCCGAGGCTCCTGAAGAGAACATAACATTTATTATTTAAATATGTATTCATATATCATTACTGCCCAAAGAAAAACAAGTATCTCCAAAATGATAACTTTGCAGAAGAGGGCAAAAACGTCTTTAACTTTCAATGTAAGTTATTACAAAGAGATTTTGTTGTAATTGATTTTGGGGTGTTTCTCTTGATCCAATCATCAAGAAATTTTCACACAATGTAAAGAAGAACTGCAGTGTTAAAATAACATGGAAAAATAAATATTGTCAAAAATTGAGATACATGTTTTTCTTTGGACAGTGATGACATTTGATTAAGAGACCTGTATCTTTTTGGAAATAAAGGAGTTTCTTGTAGTATATAAACACTGTAAAAGTTTCAAAACGTACAGTCCAAAAAAATTAGATAATAAGTGGACCTCAAAGAAATGATACAGTACAAGAAAAATGTAGCATATGGGCCCTTTAATGAATCATTATAAATTATTGCCTATTATTATGTTCCTACATTACAGTGTGATTTCACTAAAAACATAATAATTAAAAAACTGGTAGTGTCCAAAAAATGGAACATAGAGATGTGTTCATGAGTTGTATTAGCTTGAATGTAGAATGGAAGTTACCATAGAACCTGATGCTGTTTTTGTCTCTGAGCTTCTTGAGAAGCTCTCGTCCATTCCGAGGGTTTTGGCCATCTTTGAGAACCTCTTTAAGGCCCATGGCATATAGCAGGACTGCATCATGCAGATAGCTAGCATAAGGGCTTACCTGTAACATCAATCACACATGAGCATTGCCTCTGCTTTGAGTACAATACCGTCCAGTAAAACAAAGACCTCTACTGAGAAGCATGTGTTCTCACCTCTCTGTCTGAAGAAAGATTGCTGTAAAAAGGAGCCCCTTTCAGCCTCTCATAAACACGTTCAAAGAAGTCATAGTAATCATATCCTTCATAGGACTTCTCTGCAATTACAAACACCATGTCGAAGGCTTTCAGTGCTGTTTGGTTGTTGTCGCTGACTGCACATTTCCACAGGTTATCCTAATAGAAGAAAGAAATGTGAAGCGTTAGAATAAACTTTGAAATAATTATTTTTTCACTCCATTATTTACAACATTTTTTAACAATAATACCACACATTAAAGGGCCCATGAATTGTCCTCACTTTCTTGAAATAAGAGTTTGACGTAGTATGTAAACAATGTTAAAGTTTCAAAATGTACTGTTTGTTCAGTCCATATAGCCCATACATGCATTTAGATTCACTGTCACACCCATTGACACTGAAGTTATAAAGAGTGCTTCAGCCTGGATTGCTTTTAGAATAAGGCACAGTAAAGGGCAGCCAATAAGAACTGAGGTCATTTACATATATCAGTCTTTAAGGCGCAGTAACAAATTCTATGGGTTAAAGAGACGTTGGAAAATGGTCATGTAAAAATAAATTATGAGTGTTTATGGTATACAAACCCACACTAATTATAAGTGGACATCAGGGAAAAAAATAAAAAGTCGATGTATGTAAAGTGTAGGATATGAGCCCTTAAACCATATAGATTGTGACTTCATGCCACTGGCTTATTCCTAACTTCACTATCATTATCACTATATGACTACATGTAACTTATGTAGTGTAACATGTTCAACATGCCATGATCCTTAAAAGCTATCAGTCTGACAGTGGCTTTAAACTTAGATACGGAAGATGCAGACCTGCCAACCTTGGGAAAATATTTTGCATATCATTTAAAAAAAATTAAAAACAGAACAGGTTGCCAGATATTCAAAGCTTGGATCAATATATATTCATATGATGATTCATTTTCATTTTCAAACCATCTTCCGCAGCTGCAGTTCATTTAGAACATTGGCCAAGCAGAAAACACTCCCCGCGATTTCCACCTGCACTGTTGTTTTGCGGGCTCTTGAAATGATTGACATTACGCATTTGTTATTGTACCCAGCCTATGATTCTTTTTTGTTTTTTATGAGGCTAGACACTGCTGCCTCTTGCTGTTAGATTTGATAGATGTTAGATGGTTTAATTCACAGTCGTCACCACCTTTTTGTGTACTTTAGAGTGACAAATCGTAACAGCGTACTTTGCTGTCAAAATGCATACCTGTTACACAAAATGCATAAAGGTTGGCAGGTCTGAAGATGATTGATAGAATTCTCTCTGGATTTATCAATATCTGAATGAATATGTCTTATTACTTCAATCTGTCTGATGTGAATTGTGTACATCACAAAAAGCAGATGTTTATACTCTACAAAAGGTAAGTCTCTATTTCATCAGTTAATTAAAAGATTAGTCTTTTAAGGGTTATTGAAAATATAAGGATTGAAAATAGCAAAATGAGCATCTTTAAGCAGTGCACAAATAGAGATTTACCTTGTTTGACTTTTTTGCAGGTTACTCACCACATTGCCACTGACCTCAAACTGCTGTACCAGAAGAAAAACATACTCTCCGTTCATCAGCCCCTGCCGCTCAGCCTCTATCACCAGCTTAGTGGAATCCTCAGCGTTACTTAACACTATGATGACTGGAGGGGAGACAGATATTTGAGGTACATAAGCATCTCATAGAAATAATATATAACACATATCAACACCAGGGATTGTGATCTGTCATGAAATCTCAAATTTTACAATTGTTTGATTTGATTATTCTCAGTTTAGATGTAGTTTGAATACACTGAACACACATTTGTAAGAATTATAGTGGAACTATACTAGAGCACACCAACATAAAATGGTATCTTGGGAAGTGAAATTATCTTAAATCTACTTGATATATCTAATATGTCTCAATTTGAAATTGTTGTCAGCTTATTACATGATTTAACTTATTTCTATATGTTTCTTACTTCTTGTAAGTTTTTTGAAGTGAAACCATCTTTTTCTTTTGTTTGTTTCCAGCAAATTTCTTAAAACACGTTACATATATATTATGATTTCATTTAATGAAATGACTTAAAACAAGTCTAGTTAAATAATCTTAAAACAAGTTAAATAATCTTATAAGCGTACAACAGTTTCAAATGGAGATATATTAAATATATAGAGTAGATTTAAGATAATTTCACTCGCCAAGATACCATTTTTTGCAGTGCATCACAAATGCAGACAAAATGTATGAAGTTTGTTATATGAACATAGTGTTACTCATGTGCAAAACCCTTGTCGTTTTATTTTTTTGCATAATTTGAAAACTCCAGTTACTTTTGGCATTGTATTCAAATGTCATTTCATTGTATTCAAATTTGCATGGACCAATAGAAATGCTATAAAGCTGACAATACAAAATATTGTTACATTAACTTCCATTACAAGTTAAGAAGGTTTTCCCTTCTCCTATAAAGTTCCCATATTGGAGATACGAGGTTTTGTTCTAACAGCGACAATATTTATTATACAGATATAATTACAGTGGTGCAGTAGGTCAGCATTTGACACGTTACACAGTTGTAAAAGGTTCACTTTTTGAGGCCACTGATATCGCAACAGTTGTGTAAAATCTCTGACTCATTTACAGAAAAAAAAATTCTGCACCATTCATTGATGTGAAAGTGGACACACCATAAGGGCACAAGGGCAATACATATATTGTCATCACTCAGGTTTGAGCTACTAGAGAGCAAATTCCACTACACTGGCTAAAGCCCAGAATTGTTTATGTACAAGAACACTTAGTACAATTAGTGCTTTAGTGTACCTACCTCTTGCAACCTTGGAGATGTGATGCAGGTTCCTGTGAATGAGTTGAGGGTCACCCGAATCAAACCTGATGCTAGCGGTCACAGTTACCTTCGCTTGGAGTTGCTGTTCCACAGATTTCCAAAGAGCATCCACTTTGTCCCATGTGTTGGAGTCCGCACCTCCTCCAATGATGCCAACATACTTCCACCCGAAGAACTCCAGCGTCTTAACCAAAATTTCTCCCACTCTCTTAAGAGGAGGCACGACTTTAATATAACTATCATAAACACGAACATTGTCCATTTTGGGTGTCTGTCCCACAAAGCCAAACATTGGGATGTTCCATGTGGATGCAATGAGGCCGGTGACCTACAGCACATCAATACAACATGACATTATCTGGGCATTCAACATGGACAATATGACTAAAATCTCAAACATCTTAATATGGTCACACAGAAACGTACCTCTGCCTCCTCAGGACAAGGTGGCCCAAAGAGCGCTGATATATTGTCCTTCCACATTTGGTCTATGAAAGCTCCAAGTGAAACCTTTGCATTACAGTCAGTGTCCACATACACAAAGTCAAGAGTATAATTTTCAATGAACGATGGATTCGAGTTGACTTTGTCTATGGCGATCTGTATGGCAGAGCCCAGTTTCAGCACACTGAATGGATATGAAGCGTTCCAAGGGGCCTGGAACCCTATCAGCAACTTATTTGTGCTTGTTTGGCTGTAAGCAACGTTGGTAAGAGTGTAAAATGAAAGAAATATCAACGCCCACCATACTGTGTTCTCAGCTGCTCTGCAGTCTAACGCACCTTTCATCTTATCTGTGCAAATCCCAATTAGATCACATGTGAAATATCGAGGGAGATTTAAACGGCTTTGTGGATGACGTAGTGCCGTTTTCTTCTTTTTCCTCAGGGAAATTAATTTTAATCAAGCTTCTGGCTGTTCGCACTTGTTGAACCTGTAAATTACTGTATTTTGTTTTAGTCAGCATGACAGAAATGTCACTTCATAAGCCAAATGTCCCAACAAAGACATTTTTGGGATCCTTTTGGGTCTATTGGAGTAGACAGCCATGTAGTTCTTATTGTCTTATTGTGTTCATTAATGCTTGCTTTAATAAAGCCTGCCAGTGTTTTACATGCTAGTCATTGAACATCATCAAACACTGCAGAAGGCATGGAGAACAATAGTGGGCATCAACATGGTTACTGCCTGACTGGTATATTATATGGTGATATGTGTAATTCGTTGTATCAAAACCATCTATCTCAGTACATGAGAGGGGTTTAGCTAGAACTTTTAGAATGAGGTGGCCAGGTAAGAATAGCAGTACTGTATTAAAATGACAAAAAAGTGATGCGTTGTTTTTTCTTGTACATAAATCTGTCCATCATTTCCACATGAATAAAATATTACATCAACAAAGCTACTGCTGAAAGCAAACTAAAAGACAAAACTGTGTTAATGTATTTTATTAATTGAGGAGGAAATTATTTATTTAAATCAAGTATATTAAATGCATTACTTTCCTTAGTACACAATATTAACACATGTATTCAACTGTAAAAAGTTAGTTAGCATAAAAAATGACTATGACTAATAACCTATTTCATAATGTAGCTTGCAGAGCAGCACCTCTGAAGGGATCCAGTGCACATTCACGCACCTGTTTACTGAGCGAATTGGCCTATAACATGACCTATAATGATAATTGGCCTATAATATTGCAAACAATAATTAACAAGACATGCTAATTTTTAAGTGCAGCGTCATTAGACTCTTAGAACTGATTGGTAACTCTACTGATGGCAGATTTTCACAATAAGGCGTAATTAATGCTTTATTGGTTATGGTTGGCTGATGGTGATTGATTGTCTCACTTTCCATAATTTTGGTGACCAGAGAGCCATACTTCATGATAGGGTGGCTGCGGCCACCTCTGACCACCCCACCAATATAGTCAGCTTTGTCATTTAAACCTCCTGGCAAAGGGCATATCCCTTCTGCGGTATGTGCTCCTGCAGTTCTGAACAGTGCAGTTTCAGAAATTCCACCCCTAAATAAAACTAAATTAATGAACATTATAGCAGTTCTCTTAATTCAGCAACTACATTTGATCATGTGCTGAAGCTTTTGTAGTTTTCTTTATCACACCTATTAAATCTTTGTTATGCTTAGATAATACTTTGATTGGAAAACCACTTGTCAGTCAGTTTAGTCCTTCTCAAGTCTGTGCGGATCCCTTAATGTGGATTAATATGTCATAACCTCACTAGGCATTTGTGTTCAGACTTGGCGTCGGCGTTCAAAGGTCAGAAAGCAGCGCGGCCCAGATTTCTGAAACTACATTCTGCATCCTGTGTACATACATAATGCGTTTTGTCTCATATAACAGATCAGTCTGATAATGAAAAGCAAATGATGGAAGTTTTTAATACAAACGTCAAGGCGGCCTTGTTTTGAACCTGTGTTCTGTCTTTCAACTTTGACCCATTGAGGACTACAATGGACAACATCCATCCTGCGGCAATATCAGAAACATGGGCTGTGACTCTTCCACTCTTTCTTTCCATACCACCTTTTATCAGCCACAGATTACAAATCGTCCAAAGGTGCTTGCAGCTTATCGGCTTCCTCAGCCTTCATTACGTTCAAATGTCAAAGTTCAGCTGAGGCGTCCATCCTGAAGAGCTGTGATAATGATGCAGAGAGCAAGAGAAGCGAGTGGTGCGTCCACAAGGTCATGCTCTGCCGTACCTGCCTGCTGCTGAAACGTGTTAATGATGGAAGATGAGTGGCTCTCTGGCTCAGGTGCTGCTCTCTTGTTAGCAGCTGTCTCTGATTTTCTGCTGACTGATGGCTGTGTTTTTCAGCAAAGCTGTGAACGATGTGCTGAATCATCAAACACAAGACAGCAAGTCATCTGTGTGAAAATAATAATCAGACACCATCTTTGGAGTGCACTAGAGCACGTCTCTAGGATTGTGTGGCACAAGTGAACATCCTATTAGTGCTGTATAATACTTAATCATGCCTCACACTTCCATTCAATCAAGTAGAGCAGAGTCAGTATACATGGAGTTTATTATCTGTCCATGCTCCGCCCACAGATCAGTTTTGGATAAGCTTTACAGAATGCTGGAAAATTCAACCTAATAAGTATTGTTTGAAGTTCAGATTTGCTACATAATGTTGAGTTAATAGTGTAAAATGCTACGTTAGCGAGCTGAACTATGCTGTTGTAGCTTGTAGCTCATCAAATTTAGGCCACACTGCTAACACTAGCTAAGGAACACAATTAAAAATGAATAATATTATGTTTAATATGCATGCAAGACTTCTGTCATCTGAAATAAAGCATGTTAATAAACTGTGTGCTAGAATTTCAGTGACACTTTATTTTGAGTGGTCCTTTTTGGTTGAAACAAACACTCAACGGACTCTCAGTAACATGTCCAAAACATATGAGGGCTAGGATTAGGTTTTAGGTTGAGGTTAAGGTTAGGGTTGGGATTAGGGCCAGGGTTAGGGTTAGGTTTTGGGGAAGGTTGGGTAAGGTTAGGTTTTGTGTAATGGAAGTAACATATTAACAACACATCTATTTAATGTAAGTAATGTATAAACAGAACATCTACAAGATATTTACCTTAATGTATTCACATACTGCACTGCTGCTTCTTCATTAATATGTTGTTGATGTGTTACTAACAATCTGTTAAGAGTTTATTAATCATCTACAAAGGACCACTCCAAATAAAGTGTTACCCAAAAGGATGCATTTGTCAACTGCAGTTAATGTTAATGTCTTTATTCATTGATTTTTAACGTGCATTTAAAGTATAGGTTTGACTTCAGAAGACCTCAGACTTTACTGGACTTTAAAAAAACGTAACTAAACTAAAATGAACAAAAACAATGAATTGTTTTTCTAGTAATTGAGGAGCATGTCTTCAACAATAGGGGTGTTACCATCACCAGTGGCAAAGTCAGCTGACTCCATGCCAGTGCACCCTCTGGCTTCGTGGGATATTCAGCTGATTTTTAGATAAGTGTACTCACTAAGCGGGTACAAGGCCAAAGCTAAAGAATGAATGCTGGGATATTTTTATTTGAACTCTGAAACATTCGGCCAGGTCAAATGCACAATACAGTGTCAAATTGACCTGCAAAAACAAACCTCTAGATTAAGCTCTCTCTCTCTCTCTCTCTCTTGCATTTACATTGATAGCTTTTTTAGTTGTTCTCATAAGAATATAAGTACGTTTTTCATGCTGGACATAAATGCACACTTATGCCAGACAACTATTGCAACATCCCTAATCCTCATTGTTTTATTGAAACATCACTGTTCTGTGTTTATATCCATACTCATTTTTATTATCAGGCAATAGATAGCAGCCATGGTTCAAAGGTCTTCTGGGTGCTGTGAGCTATTTTATGGGACCTGTACACATACCTTCCTCAGTCTTCCTGTGTGACATTACTGTTCAGGAGACTCTCTCTGTGAGCTGTTGTTTCCAGCTGCATTACCTGAGGGACAGTAGACTGCGAGACACACAGGTACTGGAGTAGACCTATAGCTCACACTGTAGTATTATGTTTAACATTAGCATTATAATATCGCAATAAGACTGATTAACTGGTGGTGCCCCCTTCTCCATGTGGTGAGGTGCCATGTTTGCCATGCTGGGCATCAGTAACAAGGTCAGGGTCAATGCTGAGTCAATAAGGTAGATAAGGTAACTTGCACTAACTGTTTAAGGAAGGTTTTGAGAACTTTACTGGAGAATTTTAGTGTTGCACACGATTGGCTGTATTATACTGGAATTGAATGGAGTGAACAGGAGTTGTTTGTTGAATCGCTATCAAGCAGAAAAAAATCAGTTAGTTCTTCAAAGGTTCTTTAGTGAGGACAATGGTTCTGTACAGAACTATGAACACTCAAAGCATAATTTGCATGCTTAAATGGTTCTTTGCATGGTGAAATGGTTCTTCCGTTTGATGGAGAACCAAAAAGGCTTCTTCTATTGTTACAATGTTAAGCTTGTGACAAGAACCCTTTTAGGTGCTATACAGAACCATTTTTGAAAATGTTCTATATAGAACTTTATATAACAAATTCTACATGCAAAGAATCATTTAAGCAGACAATGGTTCTAAATAGAACCATTTTCTTTTACTAAAGAACCCTTAAAGGGCCATCTTTTTTAAGAATGTAGGAAAGCACCGAAATGTGTGGTGCAGGGGAACTTAATGTCTAGGGACCAGATCCATTAGAGTGAATTAAATCTTACATCTTTTTTCTCTTGTTCTTTTTTTTTTTTACCTTTTCATTAAAGAACACATCTAAGAATGTGCTATTCATGAAACTATAAAATATATTCTAAAATATGTTCTTGTTGCAGTTCTAGACTGAGTTTTAAAAGCTACCTACTTTATTTACTAGAAATCAGGATTTTTATAAAACAATGTTTTTTAAATCAGCAGAAAGTACAGAGTTGTCTGTATTTCTGTCTAAACGGTTACGTTAATGGTTGTCATTAAGATACCAAAATCTTTTTCCCAACAGGAAACAAGGTCAATGGTTTTGACTCAGAAACTGCTGGAGTTGGTAGTTGGGTTAGCTTGTTAACTATAGCAAACAAAGTTGTACTGCTTAGGAACCTGTGGTTAATGTGGATGTATTACATACATCACTACTCTTCTACCACTTCCAGTTCTGTTTACTGGAGCCATTTGAATGTTTCATCGCTTTTCTCTTCCAGTTTGATGTTCAAATATATATATAGAACGCTGAAAACTCAAAGAACCCT